TACGCATCAAGCAAACTGCAGGTCTTCCTAAAAGTGGTCACATTTTTTTTTTTTTTTATATTTGAACAAATTGTAAAAAACAAAAAGTGATGCAAGAGCAAACAAGCTCACAAAAAAAAAACAAACACGCAACTCAAAACTCCTGGGCTCAAGCAATCTCCCTGCTCAGCCTCCCACGTAGCTGGGCTACACAGGCATGTGCCACCATGCACCGCTAATTTTTATATATATATCAGTTGCCAATTAATTCTTTCTATTTAAGTAGAGACGGGGTTCGGCTCTTGCTCAGGCTGGTTTTGAACTCTGCACTTTGAGCACATCCGCCTGCCTCGCCCCCAAGAGCTAGGATTCACAGCGTGAGCCACCGGCCCGGCAAAAGTGGATCATATTTTTAAACTTACAAAATTGGACTAATCCGAAACACAGAGTCTATCAATACACACTAAAATCACCACTTGACAATTCTGCATTCTTTTAGTTTTAGCAAAAGTATCACAACTGAAAATAAATCACTCATACCGATGCAAATGCTAATAACAGTTGAAAACTCAGGCACCTTTTGTTACCACTGATGCTTCCAAGAAAGAATTCTAATCTTTATGATGAGATTCCTCATGCAAATTTATGTCATGCCCCTAACACAGGGCAATTTATTGTATCTGAAAGGAACACATGCTATGGCTAAGTCTCACTGTGTCTACTATTCAGAATGACAGAAATAAGGACTCAATAGGTCCCTTAAAGCCTTGGATTCATTAAGTTACTTAAAACTGAAATAGTGGTACCCCAGGAATACCCTCTTGTACTTTATCTATAATCTCATCCTATTTCAAAATATTATATAATTCTAAAATCCTTAATCCATAATCCATAAAAATATCTGCATGACATAAGATTCTCTCTATTTTATAGGTAGGTAAATTACTTGAAAATAGAAGGACATAGCAATTTACATTAGCATTGTCTTCCTTTAGAGAGCATAAAGTGCTCTATATTCTGAGTATCTCTCACCAATGATGTGAAAAGGGGACTGCATTTCAGTTTCATCTGCAATCAACAATGAGAAGGCTGCAGAACTGGCAGCAAAAGCTATATTTCACTATTGATAAGAATTCCCAACTACCTCCTCAAAATTCTAGAGCAAAAGTTCTCACCTCATTTTTTATTATTGTTGTCATGGGCCCTATAAAGAATCTGTGATATATAAAGAATTCTTACAACTCACTGATAAAAACAATTATCACAACTCAACTAAAAAATGGGCAAAGGATCTAAGGAGAAATTTTTCCAAAGAAGTTACACAAATTACAAGTTCATGGTAAAATGTTCATCATTATTAGCCATCAGGGAAATAGAAATCAAAACCACAATGCAATGGCTATCATCAAAATGACAGATAATAACAAGTGTTGGCAAAGATGTGGAGAAATTGGAACTCTCATACACTGCCGGTAGAAATGTAAAATAGTACAGCAGCTTTGGAAAACAGTCCGGCCATTCCTCCAAAAGTTAAACACAGAGTTACCATACAACCTAGCAATTTCACTCCTAGGTATCTAAGAGAAATAAAAACATATGTTCATACAAAAACTTGTACATGAATGTTCATGGAAGCATTATTCACAATAGTCAAAAAGTAGAAACCACCCAAATGCCCATCGAGTAGTGAATGGATAAATAAAATGCAGTACATTTGTGGGGCGTGGTGGCTCACACCTGTAATCCTAGCACTCAGGGAGGCCAAGCTGGGAGGATTGCTTGAGCTCAGGAGTTCAAGACCAGCCGGAGCAAGAACAAGACCCTGTCTCTACTAAAAATAGAAAGATTAGCCAGGCATTGTGGCGTCCATTTGTAGTCTCAGCTACTGGGGAAGCTAAGGCAGGTGGATCATATGAGCCCAGGAGTTTGAGGTTGCTGACACTGGGGCACTCTACTCAGGGAAATAGAGTGAGGCTCTGTTTCAAAAAAAAAAAGTACATCCATACAATATAATATTATTTGGCAATAAAACAAAGTAAAATACTGATTCATGATACAATGTGGATGAATCTTGAAAACATTATGCTAAGTAAACAAAGTCAGTTTTGGAGACGCTTTTAAGGGAAGAAAAAAAAAAAATAAAAAATAAAAGAACAAAAAAACCCCCACACATATGTATGATCCAATTTATATGAAATGTCCTGAATAGGCAAATTTATAGAGACAGAAAGTAGATTAGTGGTTCCCAGTGGTTGAGGAGGGATTGAGAGTGATGGCTCAGATGTGTGGGGTTTCTTTCTGGGTATCAAAATGTTCTAAATTTCATTATGATGTTGGAGGTACAATTCTGTGAATATATTAAAAACCAGTGAACTATACTTTTTTTATTTTTTTGAGACAGAGTCTCGCTTTGTCTCCCAGGCTAGAGTGAGTGCCGTGGTGTCAGCCTAGCTCACAGCAACCTCAAACTCCTGGGCTCAAGCAATTCTCCTGCCTCAGCCTCCCAAGTAGCTGGGACTACAGGCATGTGCCACCATGCCGGCTGATTTTTTCTATATATATATTAGTTGGCCAATTAATTTCTTTGTATTTTTAGTAGAAACGAGGTCTCGCTCAGGCTGGTTTCGAACTCTAGACCTTGAGCGATCCTGTCACATCGGCCTCCCAGAGTGCTAGGATTACAGGCGTGAGTCACCCCGTCCGGCCAGGTCTGTTTCAATGTCACCTCCTCAGAGAAGTTCTCTCTGTCCACTCCATATAAAACAGGATCTCTCTGTCACTCTATTCTGCATACCATGCTTTATTTTTCTTCATACCACTTACTGTCAGCTGAAATGCAAACATTTGTTTATTGTCTTGCATTAGAATGTAAACTCCTTGAGGACTGGAACTTTGTCTTGATTATTGTTTTACCCCAGATTTCAAAACAATGTCTGGCATATAGCAAGTACCTAAATATTTTTGTTTAATTAATAGGGAAAATATCAAAGATCTTACAATAAATTTATGAGACACAGACACAATACCTATATACAGACAATACTGGGAATGACTGAGGACAGTACTTACAGCAGCACCAAACTTCTGCTGGAACTGATCAATGACTGTGTATGTCACCTCCTCTTCCTCTACAGGAGAAGGATGGCATCAGATATATTTCTCCTCCTTTGGCAATAGAATAGCCTTCCCACTAATTTTGGCAAAATTCATATACTTCTACTCTATTACAACTCAAATGTCTAATGTTATTTTGTTACCACCTGCATCGGGCCATCACAAAGTGAACACTAATTAGCATCCTGTTTGTCAATTAAGAATAAACAAAATCCCCACCAATGATAGCCTTACAAATGGAACTTTTTGCTCATTTTCTGGGATATTCCAGGAATGCTTCCTTCCTCATAGGTGTACATCTTGAACACTTTAATACATGAACTTTTTAAAAGCATGCTCATAAAAAATAATAATAATTTAAAATAAATGAGTTCTGGAGATGGGCTAATGCCCACACTTTTAGAATTCTCTGTATCCCAACAGTTAATTATTGTTAAAAATTATGTAATTTTAAAAATTAAAGGTATAATAGAACACAGAGTTTCTCTTCATTTCCCAACTCCTAAAGCTTTAGAGTGGCACAGGACAGTTCATGTACCTCTTTCTTTTCTATCCATGCTCAGTTTTTTAGCAACTTCATTTAGTCTCAAGGCTTTAAATATCATCTATAGGCTGATTCTTGAATTTATATATCTTTCCATCTCAGAATGCTCTCCTCATTCTAGGCTTTTATAGAAACTTAAGGTGACCACAACTGAACTCCTACTCATCTCCCCAGAACTTTTCCCGCCCATAGTCTTTCCCATCTCAGTTATTTTATATTATTTTATTATGTATTTATTTATTTAGAGACAGAATCTCACTCTGTTGCCTGGGCTAGAGTGCCGTGGTGTCAGCCTAGCTCACAGGAACCTCAAACTCCTGGGCTCAAGCAATCCTCCTGTCTCAGCCTCCCGAGTAGCTGGGACTACAGGCACGCGCCACCATGCCCAGCTAATTTTTTCTATATATTTTTAGTTGTCCAGCTAATTTCTTTCTATTTTTTTTTTTTTTTGAGACAGAGTCTCACTTTGTTGCCCAGGCTAGAGTGAGTGCCGTGGCGTCAGCCTGGCTCACAGCAACCTCAATCTCCGGGGCTGTGATCCTACTGCCTCAGCCTCCTGAGTAACTGGGACTACAGGCATGCGCCACCATGCTCGGCTAATTTTTTGTATATATATTTTAGTTGGTCATTAATTTATTTCTATTTTGGTAGAGACGGGTCTCGCTCAGGCTGGTTTCGAACTCCTGACCTTTAGCAATCCGCCCGCCTTGGCCTCCCAAAGTGCTAGGATTACAGGCGTGAGCCACCACGCCCGGCTCTTTCTATTTTTAGTAGAGACGGGGTCTCCCTCTTGCTCAGGCTGGTCTTGAACTCCTGAATTCAAATGGTCCACCCACCTCAGCCTCCCAGAGTGCTAGGATGACACCACACCCGGCCCCATCTCAGTTTAATAATGACTCTACACTTCTGGCTGCTCAGGCCAAAATCCCTGAAATCATCCTTGATTCCTTTCTATCTCTCACATCCACATCTAATTATCAGTTATCCTGTGGCCTCCACCTTCAATATACATCCAGAATTCTAATACTTCTTACAAACTCTATTGCCACCACCAAGAGCTAAGCCACCCACTTGTCTTTAATTATTTCAATAGCCTCCTAACTGGTATCTATGCTTTTTTTTTTTTTTTTTTTTTTGAGACAGAGTCTTACTCTGTTGCCCAGGCTAGAGTGCCGTGGCATAAGCCTAGCTCACAGCAACCTCAAACTTCCAGGCTCAAGCAATCCTTCTGCCTCAGCCTCCTCAATAGCTGGGACTACAGGCACCCACCACCATGCCCGGCTAATTTTTTCTATATATTTTTAGTTGGCCAATTAATTTGTTTCTATTTTTAGTAGAGATGGGGTCTCGCTCTTGCTCAGGCTGGTTTCGAACTCCTGACCTTGAGCGATCCTCCCGCCTTGGCCTTCCAGAGTGCTAGGATTATAAGCGTTGAGACACCGCGCCCGGCCTGGTATCTATGCTCTTACCCCTGACTTCTTCTCAGTGTCTATACAGCATCTAGAGTGATCTTGTCAAAACAGAAGTCAGATCGTGTTATTCCACTGGTCGAAAGTTTCCAATGGGAAATTGTTTTCAAAAAGATCATCTGTAATAGTTTTTTTCATTTTTTTAACCCAATTACCATGCTGTGATCCGTTTATAATAGTATAAAAATGTGAAATATTTAGGGGATAAATATGACAAAAGATGTGAACAACTGAGAACTATAATACACTGCTGAAGTTAAAAATGATCTAAAACAAATGGAGAGACATACCAAGTACATAGATTGAAATACTCAATTTTTTTAAATGCCAATATTCCCCAAATTTATCTATAGATTCAATGTTATTCCCATCAAAATTCTAGTGAGTTTTGTTTTGTTTCGTTTTAAGAAACTTGAGTAGCTGAGTCTAAAACTTATAGAGAAATGCAAAGAACCTAGAATAGCCAATATAACTTTGAAGAAGAACAAAGTTGGATAACTAATACTATCTGATTTCAAGATTTGTCATAAATTGATGATAATAAAACAGCCTAAGGTTGTTGGTATAGAGATAGAAAAGTAGATCAATATAACAGAATAGAAATTTCAAAAATAAACAGATACAGATAATTGATTTTTTTTCTTTTTAGAGACAGAGTCTTGCTCTGCCACTCAGGCTGGAGTGTAATGACCAGATCATAGCTCACTGCAGCCTTAAATTCCTGGGCTCAAGTGATTCTCCCACTTAGCCTCCAGAGTAGCTAGGACTATAGATATGCACCACCAGGCCCAGCTAAGATAACTGATTTTTGACAAAGATGCAAAAGTAATTGAATGGAGAAAGTACAGTCTTTTCAACAAATAGTGGTAGAACAATTAGATTTCTTTCTTTCGTTCTTTCTTTTTCTTTCTTTCTTTCTTTCTTTCTTCTTTCTTTCTTTCTTTCTATCAAACCTTGAATTATACCTATCATATATAAAAATTAACTCAAAATGGATGATAGACTTAAATGTAAAACCTAAAATTATGAAACATCTAGAGGAAAACATAAGAGATGTTAATTTAAAAAAAAAGGGAACTGCCCTATGAGATATGTTTTAAAAAATAAAAATAAAAGAAAAAGAAAATGAAAAAATAGGAGAATGTGACTTTGAGTTAAGCAAATATTTCTTAGATATTACACCAAAAGTACAAACCATAAATGAAAAAACAGTGGGTAAATTGGACTTCATAATAATTAAAAATGTCTGCTCTTCAAAAAATACTTTAAGAGAATGAAAAGGCCAGGTGTGGTGACTCATGCCTGTAATCCCAGCACTTTGGGAGGTTGAGGTGGTAGGACAGCTTAAGGCCAGGAGTTCAAGACAAGCCTGGACAACGTAGTGAGACCCATCTCTACCAAAAATAGAAAAAATTAGTTGGGTGCGGTGGACTCGGATATAGTCCGAGCTACTCAGGAGGCCAAGGCAGGAGAGTAGCTTCAGCCCAGGAGTCTGAGGTTGCAGAAAGCTATGATGATGCCACTGCACTCTACCCGGGGTGACAGAGTGAGACTGTATCTCAAAAAAAAAAAAAAAAAAAAAAAGAGTTTTGAACCACAATAAAGAGAGCCTAGAAAATTCAGAGCCCCAGTGCTCACCTGATGGGCTGTACTTGAGATCATTCAGCAGGGATGTGGTTGGTGCCTCAGGGTCAGGAGAAACAGGCTCACATACATTTAGGTTTTCATCTTTCATTTTATCCATCCTGGTTCTTTCTGTATTTAGACTATCCTTACAAAAAAACAACACTCAGGTGAACTTGTTCTTTGTTGCTGATGTCATACACAGATTCCTCCACACCTACCTTAATGGTAAGGACTGTGGTCCCCCATTAACTAAAGGATCCATTTATCCATTGTTACATTGACTTGAGGGTGCTATTTAAAGATGGAAGAAAACATCTATATATTTCTCATTTCTATTTCCTTATGCCGTTTTAGGAATCAAGCAGCTAGTGAATTAGAGTTAGGCTTAGGCTTAGAGTGAGAATTAGGCTTTCCACACTAATGTGCACATTTGGGAAATATCATAATTAAGAAAATAATTCCATCATACCTAACAGAAGATGCCTTTTCTCTCACTGCACCTTGCTCCACTTCATCCAGTAGTTCCACTGTAAAATAACCAATTGGCTTCCAACAGTTTCCAAGCTGAAAACAATTAACCACTCCCAACCACCACACATCCAGTTTTACTAGGTACTGCAAATAGTAATTGAAATTTCAGTCCATAGGGCTTTCATTTGCCAGCAATAAATAGAGTAGAAAAGCCTATCCAAAGTGATGAAGATTCCCAATATCATGTCCTTACGTAGCTTCTTGGTTATTCAATAGGATTAGGAACCTCTCTACATATTCCCTTCACTCTTTTTGTTCCAGGGTGCCTTTGTTGTCTTTCACACTGGTTCTAGAGATTTTTTTTCCCCACCCATCCCAATTGTAAAGCATTTTCCCTCACTCACACTGTGTACTGTTTGAGAATTTTCTTTTAAATCATTCATAGATCTGTCCCTGCCATTCTCACAGGCTGGTGCATTAATAGTTCAGTGACATGAAGGGTAATGAAAGCTAAAATGGAAATCCCAAAAGAATTATAAGAGAAATACTGCACACAAATCCTGAAATCATTATTTTTAATCAAATTGTGCAGGTAATGTAGGGAAATATTGTATTTCATTGATTCTAACATGGACATTTTAAATAGCTCTGAAGTTACTGTTTTCAATATTAGTAAATATATATGATAGTTTAACTGGAAGTTTCTTTTTCTTATGATGCAAAAAGCAACAGTGTGTCTCATAATTAATAGCACCTTAGATTCAATGAAGCATGTTTAGGTACTTTTCAAGGAAAAAGCCTCTCAGAGGGCCACTATGTTTTAAATGTCTCTTTTCTCTGCACTATCTTAGAAGTGTTGAATATGGGGCAGAGAAAAGTAAAATTCAGTAAAAATGCTGATTAGCTATTATTATCCTTCATCTTGACAATTCTTTTTTTTTTTTTGAGACAGAATTTCACTCTGTTGCCTGGGCTAGAGTGCCATGGCATCAGCCTAGCTCACAGCAACCTCAAACTCCTGGGCTCCAGTCATCCTCTCGCCTCAGCCTCCAGAGTAGCTGGGACTACAGGCATGTACCACCATGCCCAGATAATTTTTTCTATATATATATATTTTTAGTTGTCCACATAATTTCTTTCTATTTTTAGTAGAGACGGGGTCTCTTGCTCAGGTTGGTCTTGAACTCCTGACCTTGAGAAATCCACCTGCCTCAGCCTCACAGAGTGCTAGGATTACAGGCGTGAGCCACTGTGCCCAGCCCATCTTGACAATTCTTATCCAAGGTGCTTTTTGGGGGGACCTCTCCATGGCTGATTGGGCCACAGGGCAAAGAAAGAGAGGACCATCTTTTGAGCTTAAAAATTATGAACAAAGGACAAGTCCTGGTAAAGAATTTAGGAAGAGATGAATTCCATGTGTACAGATTACAAAGCTGGTCAATAATCAGCCTTCTTCTGAGCTAGGGAAAAGGTAGTAGTGATTCCTTTGCTTCTCACTATAAACTCATCCACAGCCTAGCTTTGTTCCAGTCCAGAGCTCGGTTTTACTGCAAAGGTTAACAGAGCACAGTTAAGAATTCCACTAGCACCACCACAATCAATGCTATTACAAAAAGGTATTCAAGGGACAAAGTTTATGGTAGCATCTTCAATGAGAAAGGATAGCTAGGTAGCTGTCCAAACTTGTGGAACTTGCAATGGCTCTGGATTTGCAATCATTAATTTGGTGAGATTTTCATCTCCTCCTAAATTCTAGTTTTCTCACAAAGCAAAGCAATCTTTTAAGCAATAGTAAATGCTCCTTTCCTCTGATCTGCCCCAATGGGGAGAAATGCACAGCCCTGAGAGGCCCCAGAGCTTCCATTCCTCTGCTCAGCACTGATATTCACTCCTCCTTGGGGTAGAAGCAGAAAGCTCCTGAATCCTTAAAAGCAAGAAATGTTCCTGCTTTCTCTTATCCTACTTGACTTGTCTGAAGCACACTGACCAGATGAGTTCCTATAGCTATTCTTTCAGGCAAACAATTGTACCTACTCTTGCTAACTGGCTTGTACTAGCAGACATAAAAAAACAGAGCTACTTCCTGCAATTTCAAAATCCCAAAACCCGTGAAAGTCAGAATTTTGTTGTAACTCTTCTAGCAGCAAAACCTGACATGCTATTTATAGTCCAATTTTATTCCACTTAGTAGGATTATCTCTGGAGAAATGTGTTGTATTTCAGAGTGCTGCCCATACCTTCTTGACATAATATGAACAGTATATTCTCTGTGCTATGTTTTCCGAAAGTACAGGATAATTCTGGATTCAGAGACATTTGGTTCTAAGGTTTCAGATAAGGAATTGTGACTGGACTGTGGACCTATAGCATTTAACTAGCTTGCTTAGCAAGACAATCCCTTCTTATTCAGGCTCCTAACTGCCAGCTGTCCAAATCTAGTGATGAGCACCAACAGACCTCATATTATAAAACCAAAATAATTGCAATTCTGTAAGCCTATTCTGCTCATAGAGTACCCAAAGCAACAGTAAGAAAGGGTCAATTCTCAAATACCAACTTTAAGAGTTCATAAGTGCAATATAAAAGGCAAGACAAATCCCATTTTATTTCAAATAATGGAATGAGGCAGAGCAGTGAGTTTACTACTACTGCAAATCCTAGTACTAGCATTCAGGGAAGATGAAATTCTCACCATTCACAATCTCATGCCCAAAAAACATCTTCACTCCTGGGACACTTCGACCTGTCTGTACATTCTTTACTGTTACAGAAAACAATTCATTCAGTTAATAATTTTAAAAAATATATTTTCCTAAAACAATAAGAAAACATTCTTACTCTCAAAATGGCCCAAATCTGAGTTTTATAAAAATCTGCAAATTATCTTCCCCAGGAAATAGTCAATAATATATTACAAAGCTACAGCCCTGAAAGAAGTAAAGAACAAAGTAAACCCTGTTATGGTCCAAGAGAAACTAAACAGGGCAGCAGTAGGACACTGATTTTAAAATTCTCCTGAGAATATTCTAAGGCCTTTGGGGCTCAGGACTACCTATTAGTTATACTTCTATTTATTTTTACTGCATCTAATAAATCCAGAAAGAAATTGAAGTCATCTGACTACTTCTAGAGTCCACACACTGCTTCATGTCATGTTACATGCTCTACAATATTATCAAGGACAACAATCTAATTCCTGATTGATATGTAAATCCTTCTGATTTGTTCCAAGCCTACTTCTTCAGCCTTATCTCTCATCATATCCTTATATTGAAATTTACTTAGTTTTTCTGAATGCACCAGGTTTTTATGTCTCTATGTATTTGCACATACTGCTACTTCTGTTTTAAACAATGGTTCTCTCAAAGTGTGGCTCCAATTGGTTTAAAAAAAAAAAAGAAAAAGAAAAAGAAAGTGTGGCTCCAAAGCACAGTATCATCTATTAACTTGTTAAAAATGCAAATTCTGGACCTTAAGAATCAGAAATTCTGGGAGTAGGGCCCAGCAATCTGTGTTTTAACAAGTCTTCCAGGTGATTCTGATACACAACAAAGTTTGAGAACCACTGGCTTAATACAACCTTCTCTTTTCTCATTGTTAACTCCTACTTGCCCAGATGCAGTTACATCATCAATTTCTCCTTTAGGAGGTATCTCCACTATCCTAATCCATGCACTAAAAGATAAAGTTCCATAGCATCTTGTGCATCTCTCCTCTATTAGAGAGGATATCACTTGTCTACTTATTTGTCTCCTTATTGGACTAAGTTTTTTGAGGACAGGGACCATGCTATTCCTACATGCATCCCAAGCACAGTACCTGGGATATAAAGCAATCAATAAATGATTATTGAATAAATTAATGTTGTAAAAACCTGTTATAGTCCCATCCTAGTTCACAAAAGCCTATTTTAACTCAAAATATAGCTTAACAAATAGCAGTAATATCTCAAATGCCATTTATACATGTCTCAATTGCGAACTTTAAATTTATCATGTCAGGAAAACAACTACCCTAGCAAATCAGTACTGCAGCTGAATAAAAACTCTATATATTAAAGCTTTGGGGCTGGTACACATGGACGCTCTGGGAGGGTGATGCACCCAGAGAGGGTATGGAAGTTCTGTGTCCCCTCCCCAAGAGTTTGCCCTGTGCATCTCTCCCATGTAGCTGTTCCTGATTTGTACCCTTTATAATAAACCAGAATTGAAGCCGGGAGATGTAGAGGCTACCTTGTGACCATAAACATGAGACAGAGGATCACAGAGGTGACAGAGCAGGAACACAAAGCATCAGGTCCCTTCTAGTGTCTTTCAGCCACTGCACTATTCCTCAGAAGCCTATTTATGGAATTCTTTTTGCATGAGAAAAACCAACCCCTTACTGTCTTTGTGAATTTGTCTGTTGAAGTCAAAAGCAATTCTAACTAATACAGTAGTCATGTTTAATGTCAAGATGCATATGGACAGAAATTAAAAGAAGTACTCAATTAAAAGCTTTCTCACCACCTCACTGCTCTGGGAGAAAAAAAGAAGAACTCTCTATATTGAAATTCTGCTATCATGTCAAAAGTAAAGAAGTGGGGACTAACCAGCATATGTAGTCACATTGTTCTGCTAGAAATGTTCTGAAAATGATACTCTAACCTTCCTCCCACCCCTTCCCCAAAATAGGGATAATGTCACCCACCCTCCCAGTTGCTAATAATGGAGCCCAAAGCCATCACTTAAATTCAGTCACTAATCTCTTAAAAGGCAGAAGATCATAAGAAATAGAATGAGACCTTTTTTTAGGACAACAATCTTGTTAGGGTCCACATGCTGGAGCACACCCTCGAAGATGCCACAAACCAATGTGAGTTTTACCCTTCTCCACAAAATCTGATTGAGGAAATGGTAGTCACTGCTGAGATCCATGCCAATTGATTCCAAAAGCAGTCTTCAAATAATCTTCTTTAAGCATCCAAACACTTGAAAATTAATAAAGAGATTTATGATTTTAAAACGATTTTTTGAGAGTAAGATTATTTTTCCTTTACCCATATCTGTAATGGACAAGAAGAATAAAAATATGAGTAATTCAGTTTTGCTCATCTTTTTAGATGATGAGAAAAGGATCATTGCAAGCACTAACTCTCATACATGGGAAACGAAAAGCCATAAGATTTTGGGCAAGGTAGGCTTGGCTTCTTTGTCTCTAAAATGGGGATAATATCACCTTCCCTTCCTTACATAAATGGAACAAGCAGAATATTTAGAGGCTTTTAAAAGGCACATACATACATAGTTTTAACCAAAAAAAGGGAAAAGAACAAATTTTAAAAATTGACATCAGCAAAAATACTCGCTAACACATGCTGCAATAAATTGTTTACCCAGAAATGTCTTGACTGTAACCTCTTTTGGATCTATCCTCTTCTGGATTAAAAACATTTCCAGAGTTTTACACTGTTACCAACTAAAGCATAACTGACTTAGAACTATCACAATTTATGCATTGCCAATCCAGCTGCCATGATATCACTGCAAGGGTCAATCCATGCCACCCTGGCCATAGCTTGGGGACTAGGCTGCTGTAGTGTCACCACCTAGTCATGTGCAGCCTGACAGATCAAACTGCCACATGCCATACACTCAAATGTTTTATAAAAATGATATATGCTCATTATAAAGAATTACAACAATATAGAAATATACAAAGAAAAATATACAAAGTAAAGAAATAGCTCATTCATAGTAGATACTCTTTCATTCTTTAGTGTAATACAGTAATTTAAAAGATGAGGCCGGGCACAGTGGCTCACACCTGTAATCCTAGCACTCTGGGAGGCTGAGGCGGGCGGATCGCTCGAGGACAGGAGTTCAAAACCTGCATGAGCAAGAACCCATCTCTACTATAAATAGAAATTAAATGGCCAACTAATATATACAGAAAAAATTAGCCAGGCATGGTGGCGCATGCCTGTAGTCCCAGCTACTCGGGAGTCTGAGGCAGGAGGATTGCTTTAGCCCTGGAGTTTGAGGTTGCTGTGAGCTAGGCTGACGCCAAGGCACTCACTCTAGCCAGGGCAACAAAGTGAGACTCTGTCTCAAAAAAAAAGAAAAAAAGACAAATGCTTTTTTAAAAGTATCTCTTAGAACTATTCTGTTATTTGGATGTCCTTGTATTTCGAACCCTAGATAAATGTTCTTCTATGGTGGTTTAAATTTAAAAGCTACTTGCCATTGCCACACTAGCAAAATTCAACCAGTGAATTCTGCGATTTAACTATAAAAACACTGATGAAACAACTAGAGTCTAATTCAACCAGGAAGGTGAGATGTTACATATCACTGTTAGCCAAATAAATAACCTATTTTTAAATGTTAAGGTCTATCAAGTGCTTATACAAATATTATTTGATACTTAACAACTACAACCTAATTTATAAATGAGGAAACTGAAGCTTAGAGCTTTAAGACACCTGCCCAAAGTCACACAGCTAGAAGGTAATGGAAACTGAACCAAGACCAGGGCTCTAGTGCAGGATGTTTCTACTACAAGACCAAGTGTTATGCATCCAGAGAGAACATAAAACAAGTCATCAGAGAGCCTGAGAAAAATCATTCTGGGCTGAGCTTGATGGCTCATACCTACAATCTCAGCACTTTGGAAGGCCGAGGTGGGAGGACTGCTTGAGGCCAAGAGTTCAAGACCAGCCTGGGCAACCCAGCAAGACCCTATTTTATTTTTTTGAGACAGACTCTCGCTTTGTTGCCTAGGCTAGAGTGAGTGCTGTGGTGTCAGCCTAGCTCATAGCAACCTCAAACTCCTGGGCTCAAGCAATCCTTCTGCCTCAGCCTCCCAAGTGGCTGGGACTACAGGCATGCGTCACCATGCCCGGCAAATTTTATATAAATATATTAGTTGGTCAATTAATTTCTTTCTATTTATAGTAGAGACGGGGGTCTCACTCTTGCTCAGGCTAGTTTCGAATTCCTGACCTTGAGCAATCCACCAGCCTCAGCCTCCCAGAGAGCCAGGATTACAGGTGTGAGCCACCGAAGACCCTATTTTAAAAATTAGCCAGGTGTGCTGGTGTGTGTCCGTAGTCCCTGTTACTTGGGAGGGTGGGGTGGGAGGATCACTTGAGCCCAGAAGTTTGAGGCCACAGTGAGCTACTGCACTCTAGTGTGGGTGACAGAATGAGATCCTGGGGTGGGGGGGTGGAATAAATTATTTGCTCAAGTTAATCCAACAGGGAAAAGGGGATTTCTTATAGAAAGAATAATATAAAATTATAAAATTGAGGGGGAAGCCCTCAATAGAGACAAAAATTAATTTATATTTTAAAAAGATACCAAAGAAAGAAAAGTGTGTGAATTATTGCTTGAAAAACAAGAACATTTTTTAAACATCAAAGAAAAAAGAAACTTTAAATCAGAAAAATATGTTAACACTAAGCAAAGAAAGCTTCGACTGGAGACAGCTGTAAATGGTAAGCTTCAAGATGAGGAAGGAATGTAAGTACATGGATGGGCCTAGGGAAGAAAAAAGAAAAAAGATATTTAATATAATTTTTAAAAAATATTAAAAAAAAAAAGATGAGGAAGGAAGAAGTAAGGTCAGGATCAAGACATGGGCTTCAAGGCAGACTGAGAAAAGGGATAATCATGTGGCCAACGTCTCGGTTTTCCTACCACACCCATATTCGCAAATAAAAAGCAGCTACAGTGGCTTCTTAGGCCAGCATATCCAAAATGTTTCTCTCTGTCTAGGAAGGCCTACATCACTAGGTCAGACACGAGCAAGCCAATTGTGAAAATAACTGTGAGACTAGAACTCAGCCTACAGGGAACCCCTGGGGCCTCAGGCTAAGCTGTAAGGCCTTATGTAACATTTAAAACTAGTAACCTAAACTGATCCGGGAAACCTTGCTAAGATAAGAATACCCTAGTACTTAGGTATAGGTACTAAGCGATAGTGACCAGAATGTGGTTCTTTTATATCTCAAAATAAACAGGTGAACGAGTAAGACAGTTGAAGACAAAGGAAAATAACTGGTTCACCAGAGGGGGTGTACTACTTTGACGGGTGTCTTTAGACTTTGTCATGAAAACAAACATGCCATAAGAGTAAAATACAAAATTCCTCATTTTTAAGACAAAATAAACTTCAAATAAACGGCGGGCCATACGCTAAGAATTCACTTTCTTCCTCCGTCAGGGTTTTTTTTTTCCCGAAGGAAGTGTGGAAAATCTGGATCCTAATTTCAGCCAAATGGTGAGGTTCTCGAACTTCAGTCTAGAACTAAAAGAAGAGGGACTGCCGTTAAGGAAGAAATCTCTGGGCGCTCCAAATCCCCCGGCGGCGGTTAGCAAAGCATAATGAAGGCAAACCGGAGAAGAGTCCGCACCGCCCGGCGCCCAAGCCGCAGAGCAGATGCCCGCCGGGAACCTCGTCAAGTCCCGGCTGTTTGCACAGAGCCAATCGGCTCGCGGCCCGAGGAGGGCTCCCCAGCGCCCCCTGCGGCCTGGAGGAGGGAAGGCCGCCCAGGAAAAATGAAGAGGTGCGACTCCCAGCATGCAGTTCCCAGGAGACACACCCCAGGGTTCTACCTCACGAAGTTTTGTCTATTCATTTTTATTGTTTTCCGAAATCCGTACCGCTTGCTGGGTAGGATTCCTTCAGTTAAGAGTCCTGTGAGAAAGGGTAGGATACGCTGTCTGCCGCAGGTTATTCTGTTGTAAAACGGCGGGTCGATGGTGTGTCCCTTTTAATCGAGGTCGCTAGCGCCAGAGTGGCATCGCCCCTTTAAGGCCGGTAGCAGCCGCGGTTCCGGGGGCGGGGTCCGTCTTCAGCAGGACTCCGGCTGGCGCTGGGCTGCTTCATTCGGGGGCTGGAACTCGCCGCACAGACGTAGGCTCCTGCGCAGGGCGCAGCCTGGTTCCTGATTGGCTGGTCCCCGGGGCCGCCCTCCCCCGCGCGCCAACCCTGGGTTCCCTCCCGGGTCCGCAGTAGAAACACTGCCCTCTCCCTTCTTGACCCCTAACCCTTCCTCCCTTCTTCCTTTCCTTCCCTCCCTTCAGCCGCCGTCGCTTCAGGCGCCGCTGCTCCCGGCTCGGTGATGGGGTCTCGGGCTTCTACGTTACTGCGGGACGAAGAGCTTGAGGAGATCAAGAAGGAGACGGGCTGTGAGTTTAGGTTGGGGGGTGGGAACGCTGCCAGGCGCCTCCGGCTGGCCTCAGGTCCGAGGGCGGCTGTCGCTAAGGTCTGGAGGTGGAGTGACTGTGTGTGTGTGTGTGTGTGTGTGTGTGTGTGTGTGTGTGTGTGTGTGGAGGGGTCCTGGGCAGCCTCCAGGTTTGGAGACCGAGGGTTGGGAGGACCTGTTCTTCCAGCTGCTGCTTTCCGGAGCAGTGATCTAGCTCTTGTGGAGCTGTCCTTCCCCACAAAGGCGGGAGTCTCGATCACTCATAGAGCGTTGAATCCTCTCTTTTCTCCTCCCACCCGCAACCCCCAGCCTCTGAAAGTCCCCGGCCCATGAAAGTCCCTGACCAAACTCCTGTCCTCTATCTATCCTCACATCACCCTTCCCTATGAACAAGCATCCTGACCAGTGGGGTAAAGCCGGAGAATCAAATTCAGGAATTCTGGATGGATTCTGTAGAAAACATAATCCGTTCTTGGGCAAGGATCTAAAACCACTGACAACTGTGGGAATCACAAACAAGTTCTTGCCACAAACTAGATAAACAAATCCAGAAAGCAAGACCACGTAGTAGTAAGACTTTGGAAGATGCGACCCACTGCCTGGAGACCTTTAATCAGGGTTCTGAGAGTGTGAGACTTATTTCAAATTGAACTTTTGGAGAAAAAGCACAGATACTGTGACACCAGTGTTTTTTTTTACTTACACTGAACATACTTGCTGTCCTAATTTCGTGTATGTTGATTTCTACTATGCTGGTGTACTTTATGCAGTCGCAATTGAAATTGGATGTGCTCTAAAAATCTCAGTGTGAATTTGTACTAGGAACTGATTTTTTTGATAGTTCAGTCTCTTCCTTATTAGCCTGAACAGTGGAGTAACAGGGCTCTGGGAATTCAGAAGCTCTGTAAAATACCATTATACATTTAAATAGCCCTTGATAATGCAATGCATGATACAATTATATTGATGCATACCATATTTTCTGAGTAATCCTTTATGATTCTGGTTGAGTTTTGAGATATGTAAGTACCTGACCTCTGTTTCTTCATGATACCTGTCTTTGATAATGATGTGAGCAGTAAGTACTCAGTATACTATATGTAGGTAGTACTGAGGAGTGCTGAGGGAACTACACAATTACTCAGGCATTAATGGCTTGGGATAAATTAAATGGTGTCCTGTGCTTTCTGAGTTCAACTTTCTAGACTCTTCAAGGTGGTAGGCATGTTATCTAGACCCACCCTTTGTATGATTGATTTACTTGTTTCAGCATCTCCTAACATGGCCCTTAAGCCTCTCCATAAAGACCTTTAATGATGATGACCTCACCACTTACCAAGGCAGTCCTTTCAATGATTTCAAATGAATGACAAAGTAGTTAGCTATTCATAATTTGCAGTACTTGTTTGGCCACTGAACCTTATAGTCATTTTATGACTTAATCTGAGTCCAGGAATAGAAATATAGGCAGTTTGGATTTAGCAAACATTTTATTACATTTTGTGGCCATGACCTATGGCCACACTTGTAAATATAGTAACTATTTTAGGTCTAAGGTAACACCCAAATTAAAGCATTTGTGCTTAAAATAGAAAGTCACATAATGAGGAAGTGTAAACCATAGTGAAGATGAGAAAAGCCATGTTTGCCTCAGAGCGAAGGGAGCAATAGTCCCATTCTGGTTTATTTATATTTGACCAAATGAAAAGGGTCTGGATTGCTATAGGACTCTGGGATGTTTTATTTACCATGTGACTTGTGGACAAGCAGAACTAAGTGCTCATGAAGAGCTCTTTTACCTGTTGCCAAAGAGTGAAGGGGGGGGGATTCTCAATCACAATCAATGCATATGTATGTGTTGAGCCAGAATGTTAGTGAAATTAGAACTTACTGAATTTTCACAGTATCTGTTCAGTACTATGCTAGGTACCCAGAGCAGATGGTGACAGCAGACGCCCACAACCTCATTGGGAAGATAAGCCCAAGAGAGTTATGATTAGCATTGTGACATTAGGAAGTTGAAATTGTGTCATCCACCTTCAGAAAACAGGGAAGAGAGAGTCCTTGTGGGCTGGCCTTGTGGAGGACAGAATTGGGCCTTGGTGCATGCATAAGCGAATTGGATTTGGATAAATTAGCCTAGGTCATTTTGGGTGACTTCCAGGAGTGATCTCCCCCAAGCCTGCTACAAAGACATTCCTCTGCCCTGAGAGTGGAGCCATCAGTTTATCCAATTGGTGCCCCTCATCAGAGTTGTTTTTTAAAGCAGTAATTTTAGTATGATGCAAAAGGTTTTGAAGAATAAAAACAACAGATACCTGGAGGGTGCAGTAAAAAGGTGGAATTTGTCCTATTTTCATCTGCTTCTTGTTTCATGAAGAACAATTGGGGAACTATATCACTCAGAAACACTTTAAGAACAAGTAGATATTTTACTACCCTGTTTGCAAGTAAGAAAATGTAGTATAATTGGGGGAAACTGACCTTATAGTCAATGTGAAAGCTTTGCATTGGAATTGATGATTATATTTAAACATATTTTTTGTAAATTTAAATTGATTAGAGTTCATATATGACCAGTTTAGCTGGCATTTGGAAGTTAACCACTAAATGTCTGGAAAAGTAATTCTAGGTAAGAATTACCTGTGAGCCTCAGTTTCATCTGTAAAATGAGAATAATAGTAGTACCTACTTGGCTTGAGCCTCTAGTCCCAGCTACTTGGGAGACAGAGGTTGGAGGTTACAGTGAGCTATGATTGTGCCAAGGCAGTACTCCAGCCTGGGTGACAGAGCAAGATCTTCTATTAAAAAAAGAAAAAAAGAGAAGATAAACACCTACTTTATAGGATTCTTTTGACAATTAAATGAGGTAAATTAGAATAGTGTCTGGTATAATAAATTCAGTGTGTTAGGTATTATTATTTTGAACCATAGATCATTTCATTGTGAAAATATCATTTGCACGTGCTAGTTATAAAAACTGTGTGTAGGGCTATATGATTGGGGGAGGTGACAATATTTTATACATTTTCTATTTTCAGTATGCATTGGATTAGGAATCAAGTACAGACGTTTTGCCAATTCTAAGGAAATAAAACTTTTAAAGGAGTAGAAATTATATTTTTAACAATTTAAGAAACATGGTCCAAGAAACGCTTTGGGTTGGCATAAGACATTTGCTATACTGTCTTTGTTCTATTACCTTCTTTCACACTTCTACATTTTCATAAATTAAAGCTCATTTGAATAAAAGATGAAATTGGGAGACAGCCACAAATATCTTGGGGATTTTTGTATTCCCAGTCCTTAGTTTACTTAACTGTAGCAATAAACCGGTTGTGAATTACTTAAAAGCTTATCTATGAGAAACAATTCATACCAACAAAGTAACAATGAATACAGATTAATTTATTTTAGTCTCTACCTTCTGGTGTATGTCACATGGTATGTGGAGTGTGCTGAACAGGTTTAGGAAGTAAATTGTATAGAATGGTGAGATTTTGTTTGTTTGAAAGGGTGTAGTGATGATAGAACCAATGTAGGTTTCCCTACAGTTCCACCAAAGTGCGAGGCTGGCAAAGGCAACTGCTTGAGAATAATTTCCCGGGCTAGAATGTAAGTGGAAGTGCAATTCCAGGCTGCTACTGCCTCCAGTGCAGGACCCTTTTATGGCCCTCACCTGCCATGCCTTGGTGCCTGAAGGTTCTGTCACTACAGGAGACTCTACTGTCTTCCTCCTTCCATTGAAATGGAATGCACAGATAACTAACACCTTTAGCTTATTTTGAGTTAGGTAATTTGTAAAGCTCTGTACTTTTTTAGTTCTATTTGTTTTAGAAGTTTGTCTAGAAGTTTTATTCTCATTTGTTTCCAGAAAGTGGTAAGAGGCAACCACTTGTTACATTAGAGAGGGCTCTGCGGGAGGGAGACTCTGGGAACATTTTTTTGGTAGGGAAAGGTGGTCCAGAGCATAGAGTATTTGGAGTTTTACTTATTTATTTATTGAGGATTGGAGGATCAGCTTTTATTTTGCTGGCAGGCTCAGAGGGGCATACCACCAAATTCTGAGCCTGGAGTTTTACTCATTTAGAAGATAATCGACCCCAGCAGCAGCTGCAAAGATAAAAGCTTTATCTATTTATGTATATTTTTGATGAATCATTTGAAGGTTGCAGGTATTGGAACTCTTCATCTCTAAATACTTATGCTTGTATCTCCAGAGAATAGGGAATTTTTTCCCTGCATAATCACAATGCTATTATCACACCTAAGAAAGTTGATAATTTTATAATATTATCTATTTGGTCCATATTCAGATTTCCCCAATTATGAGAAGGTAGGGTTTGTTTTATATAATGTTTTCTTTTCTTTTTTTTTTTTTTGAGACAGAGTCTCACTTTGTTGCCCAGGCTAGAGTGAGTGCCATGGCATCAGCTTAGCTCACAGCAACCTCAAACTCCTGGGCCCAAGCGATCCTTTTGCCTCAGCCTCCTGAGTAGCTGGGACTACAGGCATGCACCACCATATCCAGCTAATCTTTTCTATATATTTTTAGTAGGCCAATTAATTTACTTCTATTTTTAGTAGAGACGGGGTCTCGCTGTTGCTCAAGCTGGTTTCGAATTCTTGACCTTGAGCGATCCTCCAGCCTTGGCCCCCCAGAGTGCTAGGATTATAGGTGTCTGCCACCTCGCTGGCCCTATATAATGTTTTTTAAGTTTTTTTTTTAGAGATTACAAGAGGCCAGATCTTGAAATCTCATGTCAGAGGAAATGTTAAGGTGGAGTGTTCAGGAGGAATGATTAGGGGTATAGACTTTAACTTCAAAATCTTTTATCTTTTTATTAAAAATAATTTTTTTTAGAGACAGGTCTTACTCTGTCTTCCAGGCTTGGAGTACAGTGGCCAGATCATGCCTCACTGCAGTCTTAAACTCCTGGGCTCAAGTGATCCTTCTGCCTTAGCTTCCCAAAATGCTGGGATTACTAAGTATGAGCCACTGGCCTGACCCGAAATCTTTTATCTAGAGCTACCTTTGGCTACCCTTTTATACTTTACCGAGGTTATCAATTTGTTCTTCTATATTAAGATTTAGGATAAAGGCAAGGGCAAAATAACTTTTTTCTTGTTTCCTTTTTGTTCTTATTCTTCTCTCTGCCATTTTTCCTTGGTGCTTGGCACTTCTCTAAAACACCTCCCTCTGAGCACAATGCAATGATGATAGAAAGATTTATAGTCAGGAAGGTTAACATGGTCTTTTAAATCTTTTAATGCTTTAAAATAATTATTTGCCCATCAGTGATAGAAAATATAGCTTCATTCAAGACATGTCTTTATGCACAGTCTTTTCTGAGAGTAACTTTCAACTCCTGAGACTTCCTTTGGGTTACCAAGAATTGTGCAGGTTTGGGGCATGTATCTGGCTAGCCTAGTGCCTTGAGGTGAGGATAGTTTACTGGAAACATGCCCTGCCTTCATTTGTGCTAGTTCTAATGCCTTTCTCCATATGGATTGTGTAGCCTCTTTATAGGTGGATTGGGGTTGTTCTGAGCTCTACACCTGAAGGTCGCTTTATGTTCTTTGTCACAGTGGATTTAGCACCAAGATTAACACTTTCTCTCATTCTTTTTTTTTCTTGTTAAGAAAGCTTTTTGTTACAATATAATTATAATACTAACTCCAAAATTTAGGAGATAGGTTCAGATGTAACCATATTAATTTTAAAAGTTGACATTTGGTTGTATATTTCTCCATTGATTTCCATATTGTCCTGAGAAATATCAGTATTATGATTGTTTTGGTTACTTGTTTATATATTTACATATTTATTTTTAACATATTAGTACATTGTGAATTCAAGCAGCCATAAACTCATTCTTTTTTTTTTTTAAATATGGATGGGATGTAATGCCATGCCAATACTTACTGAGGAATTTACAAAATCATACTATAGGCTGGGTGTGGTTGCTCAGGCCTGTAATCCTAGCATTCTGGGAGGCCAAGGCAGGAGGATCGCTCAAGGTCAGGAGTTCGAAACCGAGCAACAGTGAGACCCCGTCTAGAAATTAATTGGCCAACTAATATATAGAAAAAATTAGCCAGGCATGGTGGCACATGCCTGTAGTCCCAGCTACTCAGGAGACTGAGGCAGAAGGATTGCTTGAGCCCAGGTTGCTGTGAGCGAGGCTGATGCCATGGCACTCTATCCCGGGCAACAGAGACTCAGTCTGTCTAAAAAAAAGAAAGATGTACTGGCTCATTTCCTAATAGAAGGAACTGGACTAGGTAATATTCCTTCCAATTTAAAATTTTTCTAAATCACTATACATATATATATATATACACACTCATAGATATATACTCACATAATATATATACTGATGGGAAATTTCTAGAAGTATTCACAAGAAACTGATAATAGTGTTGCTCTTTGGCACAGGACACTGGGAAATTGGTGTATTTGGGTGACTTTTCTTTTTTTTTTTTTTTTTTTGCTAAACACAAAGCTTTACAATTTATTTATTTATTTATTTTTCGGGTGACTTTTCATTGTGTATTTTGTACCTTTTGCATTTTTGCCATGTGCATGGATTATTTTCTCAAAAAAAAACACACACAAAAAAAACAACTAGTATAAAAAGAAATACTAGGCCGGGTGTGGTGGCTCATGCATGTAATCCTTTTTTTTGTTTTGTTTTTTTTTGAGACAGAGTCTCACTTTGTTGCCCAGGCTAGAGGGAGTGCCGTGGCATCAGCCTAGCTCACAGCAACCTCAAACTCTTGGGCTCAAGCAATCCTACTGCCTCAGCCCCCGAGTAGCTGGACTACAGGCATGTGCCACCATGCCTGGCTCATTTTTTCTATATATATTAGTTGGCCAATTAATTTCTTTCTATTTATAGTAAAGACGGGGTCTTGCTCTTGCTCAGGCTGGTTTTGAACTCCTGACCTTGAGCAATCCACCTGCCTCAGTCTCCCAGAGAGCTAGGATTACAGGCGTGAGCCACCGGGCTGGGCCTCATGCCTGTAATCCTAGCACTCTGGGAGGCTGAGGCGGGAGAATCACTCAAGGTCAGGAGTTTGAAACCAGCCTGAGCAACAGTGAGACCTCGTCTCTACTAAAAATAGAAATAAATTAATTGGTATAGAAAAAATTAACCGGGCATGATGGCGCATGCCTGTAGTCCTAGTTACTCAGGAGGCTGAGGCAGAAGGATTGCTTGAGCCCAGGAGTTTGAGGTTACTGTGAGCTAGGCTGACGTCCTGGCACTCTAGCCTGGGCAACAGAGTGAGACTCTGTCTTAAAAAAAAAAAAAAAAAAGAAAGAAAGAAATAATTTTCCTTCTTAAAGTAATATAAATACTTAATATTCTGAACACTAAAAGTTGATCCAATAGACCAAATATTATGCAGTTATTGAAAAGGACTCTAAGCAATATAGAAAAATTAGGAATTATTAAATGAAAAGTATGCTATTGCAACTATATAAAGTATACAAGTGACTCAGTATAATAGATGATATATGAAGAAATGGAAAGAGCAGTGTTGGGATTGTGAACAAATTTTGTTTTTTCAGAAAATAGTTTGGGAAACTTAGTAATTCTTTAAAGTACCTATTTTGGCTAAGCTAAAGGGAACTTTAGTGTAAAGAGTAGCCTCTAAGGCCTGAGGCCAGAGCCGGAAGAGAGTGGTCAAGTGGTTAAAGAAAGCAGTTATAACTGGCAGAGTCAGGAGGGAAATGGAAAGTAATTAGTGCAGCAATAAAACTGTGCCTTCCAGCTCACGACATAATGATGATAGCTAACCTGGAGTTGCTTGTCATGTTCCAGGCACTTGGCCAAGCATTTTCCTTTCATTGACTCAGTTTGCCCATAGCCCCATTCACTGACCCCTCACTGGTAAGCTATGAAGCTATGAATGGAATCAGAATCTGTCTGCCTGACCCTTACAAGTGTGTGCTCTTTATAGTGAGCTATTCACACCTGGCTGGCTGGCAGAACAGTCCACCACTTCTTGAGTGGTAGCTGGAGCCCTGTTGCCTCTGCCCTGGATCGGAGTGATTTTGCTCCCTTCTCTGCTCTATACTCACCTTAAAGTGATAGTGTAGAACAGAGCCCAGCTTTGAGGGTGAAAACTAATGCTAAAGAATTCACAGGCACACCTAGTGTGTCTTCTCATCCCCGCTTTGGATCACTCACTTCCTGCTTGCCCCTGTTTACTTTGTTCCGTTGTTCCCAACACTGCTAGTAAATTTGTATTTCTTGAGCTGAGGGAGGAGAACAACTATCAGAACTATTTCAGCCACCCCTTTAAACCTCCGAAGGTACAGCCTAGGACAAAGTCCACACTTGTCACACCCTTTTTGGCTGTTGTCTTTTCTCCTGTGAAAACTCTCACATGCCTTTTTGCATTTTCAAAATTGTATTGTGTACCTGAAGTTATTACCTCATTAAAATTGTCACCTTGTGCCTGAATTTATGGTGTTTTATTTGTTTTCTTTCTTTTTTTTTTTTTTCCCTCCCATCTTGGCCTCCCAGAGTGCTGTAGGCGTGAGACACTGCGCCTGGCCCTGAGATTCAATTTTGGTTGTTCTTTAATTTTCTAACTCCTTTCATTCTTTAGGTTTTAAACTTTCTGCATCAATGCTATAGAGATAACTTTTATTTTATTTATTTTTGGAAAAGGGGTCTCACTTTGTCTCCCAGACTAGAGTCCAGTGGCATGATCATAGCTTACTGCAACCTTGAAATCCTGGGCTAAAATGATCCTCCTGCCTTAGCCTCCTGAGTAGCTGGGACTACAGTATGTCACCATGCCCAGCTAATTTTTTTATTTTTCGTAGAGATGGGTTCTTTTTTTTGTTTTGTTTTTTGAGACAATGTCTTACTTTGTTGCCCAGGCTAGAGTGAGTGCCATGGCATCAGCCTAGCTCACAGCAACCTCAATCTCCTGGGCTCAAGCAATCCTCCTGCCTCAGCCTCCCGAGTAGCTGGGACTACAGGCATGCGCCACCATGCCCGTCTAATTTTTTCTATATATGTTAGTTGGCCAATTAATTTCTCTCTATTTATAGTAGAGATGGGGGTCTTGCTCTTGCTCAGGCTGGTTTTGAACTCCTGACCTTGAGCAATCCGCCTGCCTCGGCCTCCCAGAGTGCTAGGATTACAGGCGTGAGCCACCACGCCCGGCCGAGATGGGGTTCTTGCTAAGTTGCCGAGGCTAGACTTGAACTCATGGTTAGAGACAACTTTTAGAATTGCTGTATCTCCCTAGCTTACTCACTGGAAGCATTTGACAGTAGGGGGCAGGTTCAGTTCAGGTGAGGGTTATTTCCCCAGCTGGGACTAATTTTGTGCTCTTTAGTTTCCCACAGTCAAATCACTCGCCTCTACAGCCGGTTCACCAGCCTGGACAAAGGAGAGAACGGGACTCTCAGGTAGGCAGTTCCCTTCTTTATTTTCCTCACAGAAGCTAGAAACTCTCTGGCAATGTCTGAATAGCTGCCTGTATCCCAAGAAGCAGACATGATAGGCATCCAGCTTTCAGACGGCAGGGACCATTTCTTCACTAGTCTTTGAGCATCATTGATCCACAGGAAGTTAAATCAGCAGAACAATTACATTAAATTTATCATCAGATGCTTTATTGCTTTATTCCAGCTCCCTTAGTTTAAGTGGCCATTATTTTGGTCGTAAGAACATACTTTCAAGACTTCAACTCTCTCTGTTTGCATTTTCCCTCAATCCTTTCCCAAACATTGGCTTTTATGAAGTTGACCCATAGCAATCTCAGCAATCCCAGGTGGTCTAGGGTTGTTCTCTCTTCTTTCCTCTCATTTCACAACCCAACCCATAACCCTAGGGTACATCACTTTATGTATATTAATTTTAGACAAGATAATCAGTATTTTAGTCTATAGCAGTGGTTCTCATCTGAAGGCCATTTTGCCACTCAGGGGAAAAATGTCTGGAGAATTTTTTTTTTTTTTTTTTAGATAGAGTCTCATTCTGTTTTCTGGGCTAGAGTGCCAGGGCGTCAGCCTAGCTCACAGCAACCTCAAACTCCTGGGCTCAAGCAATCCTTCTGCCTCAACCTCCCGAGTAGCTGGGACAACAGGCATGCGCCACCATGCCCGGCTAATTTTTTCTATATATTTTTAGTTGGCCAATTAATTTGTTTCTATTTTTAGTAGAGACGGGGTCTTGCTCTTGCTCAGGTTGGTCTTGAACTCCTGACCTTGAACAGTTCCTCCCGCCTCAGCCTCCCAGAGTGCTAGGATTATAGGCGTGAGCCACCAGGCAGGACTTCTTTTTTTTTTTTTTTTTGTGAAAGGAGTCTCACTCTGTCATGAGGCTAGAGTGCAGTGGTGTCATAGCTCACTGCAACCTCAAACTCCTGGGCTCAAGAAATCCTCCTGTGGCAGCCTCCCTAGTAGGAGGGACTACAGGTGTGTGCACCATGTCCAGCTAATTTTTCTATTTTTTGTGGAAAATGGAGTCTCACTCTTGCTCAGGCTGGTCTTGAACTCCTGAACTCAAGCGATCCTCCCGCTTTAGCCTCTCATAGTGCTAGGATTACAGGAGTGAGCCACTGCTCCTGGCCTTTGGAGACATATTTGATTGTCATGACTGGGAAATGCCACTCGTGCCTAGTGGGTATCAGCCAGGGGTGCTGCTAAATATCCTGCAATACACAGGACAGCCCCCACAACAAAGAATTATTCTGCCCTAGATGTCAGCAGTGCCAAAGTTGAGAAATTGATGTAGAGTAAGTATATGATTTCAGAGGGATGTAATGCTGCATTGTATTGTGTTTATAATTGTCTTATTACAGTCAAATGAGATATCTCTTTAGCCCCATCTCCCACCTAACTCTCAGTAGCAGCCTTTTTTATACTGTTGTTCTTCAGCTTTGGTTGACTGGCATGTAATGAAGCCATTTGTCTTTCTGGTGGCTGGCATGAAACAGTTTAGGACATCTTGGAAGGTTTCTAGCACAGGTATGGGGTGTACCATAAAGGGGGAAGACATATGGGTGCTAAGCCTTTGAACATAATCATCACCCCAAATAGAAACCCCATGTCCATTAAGTAATCACTTCCTATTCCTCATTCCCTGAACCCCTGGCAACCACTAATCTACTTTCTTTCTCTCTTTGGACATTTCATATAAATATAGCCTTCTTCCATATAAGATGATGTTTTCAAGGTTCATCTATGTTGTAGCATTTATCAGTACTTCATTCCCTTTTATGACTGAGTAATAATATTCCATTGTATGGATATGCCACATTGGTTTATCCATTCATCAGATGGTAGACATTTGAGTTTACACCATTTGGCTATTGCGAATAGTGCAGCTTTGAACATTTTTGTGTGGACATATATTTTAATTTCTCTTGGTATATACCTATAAGTGGAATTGTGGCTCATATGGATTGTTTTTTCATTCTTTTTATTGTGTCCTTTGAAGTACAAACATTTTTCTACCCCCTGTAGCCTTAGATATCAGCTGGTGAACTCTAAACTCTTTGTAGTGCAGAGAGAATCAGCTTCCTCCAGCCTTTGCTGCCAAACTCAGCTCAAGACCTATCTTGATCTTTCCGGAACCTGTCAGAATGCTCATCTTAATACAAGTGGATTCCTATTGTTTGTTACCTGGAATAGCTCCCATCTTCTTAAGAATGTAGTTGTGGTTATCAGGAGAAATATTTTCCCTTCTATATGTTTTTTTTACTTTTCCAAGATGCTCCATGTCTGGGACCTGAAGCCAAATTCTATAGAGTGAGAGGCTATAGTATATACAGTTTGTCATTCTGTGTTCCTTTAGTGGCCAGTCCCAAAGCAAAATCTATTGAAGGTTTTGGTTAGAATGGAGCTTCTTCAAAGTGATTTCAGAGATTCACTGCAAAGTATTCTTTTTTTTTAGATGGGATCTTGCATTGTCACTCCAGGTAGAGTGCAGTGGTATCATCATAGCTCACTACAACCTCAGACTCCCAAGCATAAGCTATCCTCTTTCCTCAGTTTCCTGAATATCTGGTACTACAGGTGCGAACCACCATGCCCAGCTAAATTTTCTATTTTTAGTAAAGATGAAGGCCTCACTCTTTTTTATTTTTTAATTTCAGCATATTATGGGGGTACAAATGTTTAGGTTACATGTGTTGAAGGACTCACTCTTGCTCAGGCTGGGGTTGATTCCTGACCTCAAGTGATCCTCCCGCTTCAGCCTCCCAGAGTGCTAGATTATAGGCATGAGCTACCTCGCCTATGTATGCAAAGTATGTTTTTTTTTTTGAAACAGAGTCTTGCTTTATTGCCCAGGCTAGAGTGAGTGCCATGGCGTCAGCCTAGCTCACAGCAACCTCAAACTCCTGGGCTCAAGCAATCCTCCTGCCTCAGCCTCCCGAGTAGCTGGGACTACAGGCATGTGCCACCATGCCCGGCTCATTTTTTCTATATATATTAGTTGACCAATTAATTTCATTCTATTTTTAGTAGAGACGGGGTCTCGCTCTTGCTCAGGCTGGTTTTGAACTCCTGACCTTGAGCAATCTGCCTGCCTCGGCCTCCCAGAGTGCTAGGATTACAGGTGTGAGCCACTGCGCCAGGCCTGCAAAGTATGTTTTATAGAACAATAATTCCTTGGTCTGTCAATAGGTGTTGTGTTAAAAAAAAAAAAGGAAGGAAGGAAGAAAAAATCACTAAAATTTGTGAAAAGCTTGGTAAAGGTTAAACAGGCTTCCAATTATAGGATTTTACCACATCTCTAACACACTCAGGTGAACTAGAAATCTCTAAGAGGGAAGTATGGAAAACAGTTTTTACCAAATTGATTTGCATTTTCTCTGTATACTCCTTTTTACATGGACCATCCCTTCAGATTGGTATTTCATAGAATATAAATACATACTATGACCTTACTAATCTTACTTTCTTAAGATACCATTATCATAGGTGAGATATTTCCACCATTGCCGTAGGATTTGTTTTTTCTCTGAAAAGGCAGCTGGGTGTTGGAAAGGGTCCCAGAGGGGTCTTTTGTAGGTCAGGTCAAGCTGAGAGCCTGGTCAGCGTCTGCACACAAAGATGGTTTCTTTTGTTTAAATATTCTCTGTGCTGATCTAATCTATGGTGTTACATACAAGTCAGGGTAATGATTACCTTTCGAGGAAGGGAGCAGGTAGAGATAAACGTAGCATGAGGGAAGCTTCTGAGTATTGGTAATAATTAGTTTTTTTTTTTTATTTCAGGAAATTATAGGGGTACAAACATTTTGGTTACATGTTATGACTTTGCCATTAGTTTCTTTTTTGAGACACAGTCTTGCTTTGTTGCCCAAGCTAGAGTACAGTGGGGTCCTCAGCTCACTGCAACCTCAAATTCCTGGACTCAAGTGATCCTCCTGCCTCAGCCTCCCAAGAAACTACAGGAGCATGCCGTCATGCCCAGCTAATTTTTCTACTTTTTGTAGAGACAGGGTATTACTCTTGCTCAGGCTGATCTCAAACTTCTGACCTCAGTCGATCCTCCCGCCTCAGCCACCCATAGTGCTAGGATTACAGGTGTGAGCCACCGTGGCCGTCCAATTAGTTTCTTGATCTGTATGCTGGTTATAGTCTTCACTTGGTGAAAATGCATTATGCTGGATGCTTTTGATTTGCTTTTCTTTATGTATGTTATACTTTAGTCAAAGTTTGCTGTAAAACTATCCTCTGCTTTGAGCAATTTTGATGTTGGGTGTTTGTCAGTTAATACTTTTTCTCAAATAATGCCATGATAAAAATATTCCTGGATATTAAATCATGCAGGCTGAGTTGACTATAGGAGACAGTACTACTAGCTTCCTTGTAGCTAAGCCCTACAAGGAAGTTTTTAGTGGGAATTGCTAGTTGGCTGTGTTGTTCTATGTAACTTTAAAGAAGATTATCTATAAATTTTAGGAGATTGTGTTCTGAATGGTAGCCATTTATCTGCTCAAACACTAAGTGCTTTTGAAGTTCCTTTTCTTGTTTTACTTTATCCAAAGGACAGTTGATTTCAATATCCTGGACAAGCACTTGCTTTGTACACAGTGGTATCAGTCATTCCAGGATAGAATTTCACAGCTAAGAAGCAAGATGCCAATCTAATTCTTGTTCTTTTTGTAGGTAATCTTTTTTTTCCCTCTGAAAGCTTCAAATATCACCTCTTGATATTTTCGAATTTCACCAAGATGACCTTTTTGTGTATCATTTTTCACTATTCATTGCTCAAGATTAGATGAACTTTCCTAGACTAAAAATAGGTCCGTTAACTAAAAAGTTTTCTTTTATTACTTTTTTTTTTTTTTTTTTTGAGACAGAGTCTCACTTTGTTGCCCAGGCTAGAGTGAGTGCTGTGGCGTCAGCCTAGCTCACAGCAACCTCAAACTTCTGGGCTCAAACAGTCCTTCTGCCTCAGCCTCCCGAGTAGCTGGGACTACAGGCATGCGCCACCATGCCTGGCTAATTTTTTCTCTATATATTAGTTGGCCAATTAATTTCTTTCTATTTATAGTAGAGACAGGGTCTCACTGTTGCTCAGGCTTGTTTCGAACTCCTGACCTCCAGCAATCCGCCCACCTCGGCCTTCTAGAGTGCTAGGATTACAGGCGTGAGCCACCACGCCTGGTCTTTAATAATATCTTTTACTCAAAAATTCTTTGAGGAAGATTTTCCTCAAAGATATACTATGAGGTACAATATAATGTCAATAGGTTTCTTAATAAGTACATAAAAATCTGAATTTCAAATGGATCTTGTACTTGTGGTATGTGGGCCACTTTGGAGTATTTATTTTTCTCTATTAGGTTTGTGTTGATGGGCACATTTGAAAAGATAAGTTTGGAGACACTGCCAGGATGATCTATATTCTACTACAGAGCAACTAATAATAAGTTGCATTTTGTTTAGCAGACGACAGACTATTTTTTTACTTTCATTTTTATTTTGATACTTTCAGTAGTATACCTCTTGGTTTGGTGACTGGAACCACATTGTATTACAATCTAAATTCTAAGACTGGAGTTAAATAGTATCATAGGACAGGATTTAGGTCTTTATTGAGATTGGAAGTCCAAGTCTAGATTCCCTCATTGAGATTAAAGGGGTTCGGGCTAGGTTGTGCACCCAACACTTGATAGATTTGGTGTTTAAACTGTGCCTCTTCTCAGCTAAAATTACTTGAGCTTGTTAGACATTAAACTGAAGTATGTGGCTATGCAATTCAAATCAGCTTTAGCCTTCATTTAAAAGGGAGTAGTTACTGTTTCTTAACTTCTCAAACAAGGGGAGCTACATTTTGGTGATAATGTGGACTTTGTATTATAGAACAAATTATGTAATAAAAGCTTAGTACATGTTTGTTGAATTAAATAACCAGGACCTCAGTGATTTTCTTTATCATCTTGAGCAATCTAATTATCTTATGATTGGCTTTTTCTGGTTCATTCATTGATATAAAAATTATAACCGTGAATGAAAGGAAAATTAGAATTCAGAGTTACTCTTCCAGAGCTTTGTGCTCAGTTCACTAGGTCAGTTTCTACCTGTGTCACCAGATTTGGTGGAGATGAGCTTGTTGAATTAATTAAGCACCATGTAAATGTTAAACCACAAGAGGAACAGAGTGTGAAGACTCCTGGGTTAAAATAGAAGCATTTCATGATCTCTTTTGTCTTCATTAGCATTTAGTATAAAGTGAAGGAATGTGTTTTATCTCTTCTTTTTTTTGTGAGACAGTCTCGCTTTGTTGTCCAGGCTAGAGTGAGTGCCGTGGCGTCAGCCTCGCTCACAGCAACCTCAAACTCCTGGGCTCAAGGGATCCTTCTCCCTCAGCCTCCTGAGTAGCTGGGACTACAGGCATGAGCCACCATGCCCGGCTCATTTTTTCTATATATATTAGTTGGCCAATTAATTTCTTTCTATTTATAGTAGAGACGGGGACTCACTCTTGCTCAGGCTGATTTCGAACTCCTGACCTGGAGCAATCCACCTATCTCAGCCTCCCAGAGTGCTAGGATTACAGGTGTGAGCCACTGCACCCAGCCAAACAAAGACATTCTTAGATCAAAATCAATAAATTTAGTGTTTTGATATAGTTCTATTATGTAATAGTTCATATTATTCTATGTGGTCCATTTTCCATTTTCACCTGTCACCCAGATGTCCCTTATAGCAATATTTGTCCTTGTCCAGGATCATTCATTGGGTTTAGTTGTATGTCTCTTTAGTCCCCTTTGATCTGGAACAATCCTCTGCCTTTCTTTGTCCTTCGTGACATGGATATTTTGAAGAGTGCAGTGCAGATATGTTGTAGCTTTGTATTTTTGGCACAGGACATCAACCAAAGAAGTTTGAAAAAATACTGAATATTTTTTGGGAGATCAACTTTCTTTCAAGAAGTTTAATATGGAAACAAAATGTGGTTTTTAGAAAGAGAATACATACTTTGACTTATAGAGTTAGATTTAAATCACAGTTCTGATACTAAGTAGTGGTATGGCACTGGACAAGTTACTTTTCTCTATGACTCTCAATTTCCTCAGCTCTAAAAGGGTATAGATAAAACATTGGCATGAAGAAATGAGATAATGTTTATAAAAGCAGCACACAATATATGTGCAATGAACAGTAGCTAACATTTGCTACACCCACCTAAGTTATGTGAAGATGACTGCTCTTTGTTACGTTCTCCATTGCCTCTACTGTTCTAGTGTGTAGAAGGGAATGGAGAAAAAGCTCGAGACAGAGCAAGGAAATATGGAAATCAATGGGTTCTCACACTGATATAAGTATCGCCTAAGAATTCATCCAGTTTCATAGGTGCTTTAGATCTTTTTAACAAGGATATGGAGACCCCCTCTAAATATTTTGTCCCCATATTTAAGTTCTGTAGTATTTGATACTTTCCCTTTGCTGTTCAGTCTCCAAACTTAATAACTAAGTACAAAATGGTAATGTTCAAGGAATCATTTACTAAGGGACAGCTTAGTATGTGCTTGTCAGTTGGTTTATTGTGTGCTGAATTCACTGGAATGTGGCATAGTCAAATCTGGTTTCTTCAACTCCTGAGTTGGTGCAAGAAACACTTGGCAGCTATTAAAGTGCTATTCTTTGCAGTTATTTGGTATAATTTGCCACAGAAGTAAATTCCAAGAGATGATATTCTTGCTAGGTTGTACCCTCATTTAGACTGGAAGAGTTTATGCCAGGGGTCAGTGGTCTTTAACTCCAGGTGATTCTCTTGGCAGCCGGGAAGATTTCCAGAGGATTCCAGAACTTGCCATCAACCCACTGGGGGACCGAATCATCAATGCCTTCTTTCCAGAGGGGTAAGTCAGTGCATGTGATATACTTCGTTTCTGAGGCTGTCTCAGCCTCAAATCATTGCTAATCTGAAATAATGACATTGGTTCAGTCATCTCAGAGCATGATCCCTCTGATTATATTGGGCATCCTTAATTTGGTCACATCTAGAGTATCTCTTCTTTTGTACCCCCTTCTGTTTTAAACTTCAAATAGATATACAGGCCTGTCTTCAAAATTCTGTGTTTTTTAAAAAAATCTTTTTTACCTTTCTCCACATAGTCTAATCTTATTTTTAAATTATTTATTTATTGATATAGGGTCTTACTCTGTAACCCAGTCTAGAGTGCAGGGGTGTCATCATAGCTCACTGCAACCTCAAACTCAAGCCAGCCTCCTGCCTTGGCCTCCCAAAGTGCTACGATTACAGGTTTGAGTCACTGTGCCCAGCAAAATTCTGTCTTTAATCTCTGTTTATCACTGATGTAAAACTAGACTTTGGAAATAATTTCAAATTTACAGAAAGTTGCAAAAATTAAAAATAGTACAAAGAATACCTGTATATTATTTACCCAGATACATCTATTATGTTAACATTTTGGCTCATTTGTATGCTCTCAGTAGTAGCCAATGAAAATATAATAGAAGCCACATATTTATATATTTTCTAGTAGCCACATTAAAAAAGTAAAAAATAATTTAAATTAACTCTGGCAATATGTATTTTATTTAACCCAATATATTAAAAGCATTATCATTTCCATACATAATATTAAAAATTACTGAGATATTTTACATACTTTTTTCATATTAAGTTCTTGAAATCTAATGCGTAATTTACACTTACAGCACATACCACATCAGACAAATGTTTCAAATGCTCATAGCCATATGTGATTAGTGGCTGCAGTATTGGACAGTGCAGCTTGCTTACCCATGCTCACTCTATACATACTCTCTCTTTCTACCCTCCTGTTTCTCTCTCTCTGTACATACTTCTCTCTCAGATACATACACATATACTTACATAATTGTTCTGTGTATGTTCACATAATTGTATTTTTCAACCTTTGGAGGGTAAGTTGCATAGTTGTGGCCCTTTATTCCTGCTTCAATGTGTTTACTAAGAATGACAATATTCTTTTATATATCCATAGTATAGTTATCCACTTCAATAAACTAAACATTGATATAATACTTTAATCCATTACTCTGTTTTATTAATCTATTATCTGTTTTATCCTAATCTATTATTCATATTCCAATTTTGTGAGTTCATACATTAATTAATCTCCTTTATAGCACTTCCCCTTCATCAGTAGAGGATCTAGTCTGGGCCAATTGTCATATCTCTTTAGCCTCCTTTAATCTGGAACGTTTCCACAGCCTTTGTTTTACTTTTATGATATTGACTAAGGATACAATTCTCCTCATCACACATACACTTTTTCAAGTAGATTGTTCCTTAAGTTGGATTTGTTTAATATAAAACTAGACTTGAGGCCGGGCGCGGTGGCTCACGCCTGTAATCCTAGCACTCTGGGAGGCCGAGGCCGGAGGTCAGGAGTTCAAAACCAGCCTGAGCAAGAGTGAGACCCCGTCTCTACTATAAATAGAAAGAAATTAATTGGCCAACTAATATATATACAAAAATTTAGCCGGGCATGGTGGTGCATGCCTGTATTCCCAGCTCCTCAGGAGGCTGAGGCAGTAGGATTGCTTGAGCCCAGGAGTTTGAGGTTGCTGTGAGCTACGCTGATGCCACAGCACTCAGTCTAGCCTGGGCAACAAAGCAAGACTCTGTCTCAAAAAAAAAAAAAAAAAAAAATTGACCCTACATACTTCATCTGTTTAGTGGGGCACCTGATAACTGGGACTTTTTTTAGGTAGCCACAGAACCAGGCTATCTGCTGTTTCCATGACTGCCTTAGATAAATAATTTTGTCACTTGAGTCATTCTCAAGTCATAATTTTGTCACTTCAGTCATTCTTTTTTAATATTAAAGAACATTCTTCAAGTTTTGAGAATTATTTCTTATAGGGTTATTGATTACCCTGTGGCATGATAAAAAGATTTTCTCTAAGCCTAAGTACTGAAAAGGCTTTATACACAAAGAAGTCTTTTAAAGCATTACTTAGTATAATGAAAAATGAGAAAAAAATTATCCAATTATGAGGGAATAATAAAATCATGATATATCCACATAATTATTATGCAGGCATTTAAAATGTTCTAAAGTGTTTTTATTGATTGGAGAAATGCTTAAAAGTTAAAAAAAAATTTTCAAATGTGGATATTGTGGCATGTTCCTGTGGTACCAGCTACTTAGGAGGCTGATTTGATTAGCTACCTTTTCATGAATAGAGCTTATCATATAATCTTGTTTTAAGTAATCTCCTAAACAGTCTCTTTCTGGCTCCATGTGAATTGTCTATATGACCCAAAGGATTTTAAAATGTTAGATGGGTGCTAGTTCTTAATAATGAGACTGTCAGTGAGGACACTAACAGATAAAATGCCTGGAGAGGAAATTTTAGAACTCCCAATTGAGAGTAAAGTAATTTGCTAGTTGAGAGGGTTGGGCACTCAATAAATCTGAATCACAGTAGGGGAATGGAGACTGGCAGTTAGTTTATGTAAAGAAGGGAATTGAATCAGACTAAGACTTACTTGTACTTTTCAAATTCGTGTTGACCATCACTAATCTCATACCCTTCCTCTTATTTTCCTTTCTCTCTCCCTGAACTGCTCTGATTGTTTCAGGTGTGGTTTTTATGCTGAATTCTTCCATTTTTCTGCTTCCTCTTTTAGCCCTTGCACAGCATTGAACCCTGTCCAGAGATAACTTTCACAGCTATGCTTTGTATCCAAACCTTTTGTAATGAAAAGTAAACTTGGTAGAGTCATTTTGCCAACTTTTTTTCAGAGTTCCTTAGTCACCGTCGATTACTTGAAGAAGCAGCTTGTGGACAGCTATTTTGTAAGACTAAACCACATTTGCTCTGACTACAGTATCATTTGCCATCCTGTCCACCAATCTGCTGCTGAGGAGATTAGGCAGGGTGCATATGAGGAAGCAGAGGACTGTAGTGGGCTCTACTGCTTAGCTCTTAGTAGGCCCCACCTCTGCTTCTTGCTCTAATCAGACAGATACTTGGCGTCTGGGTTTTTCTTCTCTAGTCTTATGCACATGGAATTTTTTGTATCTTTGTTTGTTTGTTTGTTTGTTTTAAAGAATGAGAATTGAAAGTGAACCATTGTTCACAGAACCAAAGTTCACAGAAACTTTATGCTAATAATATTCATTAATCTGTTCTGGCATATGACTTACATCTTATTCCACATTATTTGATTCCTTGGATTTTACATATTTTACCAGATACTGCTCTGTTAGCAGTATAACTCCCTTGACAAGCTAAAGGTCATTCTTTTGAGTACAAGGGGCTCAAAAGCTAGTCTTTCAACTCTGCCTTTAGGAGGTCTCTGAACTGTGTGTACCTGGCACTTAAGAGACCCTACATATGGCCTGGCGTGGTGGCTCACGCCTGTAATCCTAGCACTCTGGGAGGCCGAGGCCGGAGGTCAGGAGTTCAAAACCAGCCTGAGCAAGAGTGAGACCCCGTCTCTACTATAAATAGAAAGAAATTAACTGGCCAACTAATATATATACAAAAATTTAGCCGGGCATGGTGGTGCATGCCTGTATTCCCAGCTCCTCGGGAGGCTGAGGCAGTAGGATTGCTTGAGCCCAGGAGTTTGAGGTTGCTGTGAGCTAGGCTGATGCCACAGCACTCAGTCTAGCCTGGGCAACAAAGTAAGACTCTGTCTCAAAAAAAAAAAAAAAAAAAAATTGACCCTACATACTTCATCTGTTTAGTGGGGCACCTGATAACTGGGACTTTTTTTAGGTAGCCACAGAACCAGGCTATCTGCTGTTTCCATGACTGCCTTAGATAAATAATTTTGTCACTTGAGTCATTCTCAAGTCATAATTTTGTCACTTCAGTCATTCTTTTTTAATATTAAAGAACATTCTTCAAGTTTTGAGAATTATTTCTTATAGGGTTATTGATTACCCTGTGGCATGATAAAAAGATTTTCTCTAAGCCTAAGTACTGAAAAGGCTTTATACACAAAGAAGTCTTTTAAAGCATTACTTAGTATAATGAAAAATGAGAAAAAAATTATCCAATTATGAGGGAATAATAAAATCATGATATATCCACATAATTATTATGCAGGCATTTAAAATGTTCTAAAGTGTTTTTATTGATTGGAGAAATGCTTAAAAGTTAAAAAAAAATTTTCAAATGTGGATATTGTGGCATGTTCCTGTGGTACCAGCTAATTAGGAGGCTGAGGCAGGAGGATCTTTTGAGTTTAGGAGTTCCAGAACAACACAGCAAAAACAAAACAAAACAAAAAGGTAGGATACAAAGTTTATATATAATATGTTCACAATTATCTGGAAAGCATAGGAAAGTTCTTAGAATAAAATATATTAAGAATAGTTGTTGCTCCACTTGACCAGCCTTTAAAAAAAAAAGAAAAAGATAAAAAATAAAGAATAGTTGTAATTGGTAAAATTAGGAGTGACATTTTTCTTTTTTCGAAATTTTCAAATATATGTTTAATTGCTTCTACAACTAAATAAACTTTATTTTAAAAGCAGCTTTTCCATAATATGCCTTAATTTAAAAATATCCCTAGGTATACATTATTGTAGGGGAGATAGGGACATGGCTGAGGAGTCCTTGGGTTGAAATGACTAACTTGTGGCTCATGCAGGGTTCAAAGCAGTGAGTTCAGGTTCTGACTCTCATGTTTGTGTAGCTTTGGCACTACTCTAAATCATGTTTTAAGAAAAGAAATATAAGTAAATTCAACAGATAACTCTGCCCTTGATAAATCATGCTACTTCCCTAAGTCAGGTTAATCATTTATAAAGTGGAAATATTAACACCCACCTCACAAGGTTGGGGTTAGGCTTAAATGATATTCTGTGAGCCCTGAAGTATCATGCATATGGAAAGAGATCTCATTAAATGGACTTTCAGGCTATTGTAGCTAAAGCTATTGTCAGTATTTTGAATTCATAAGAAATAATCACCCAGATTGATATGGTGTTCTGTTTGTTATATTTCCCCATCAGAGAGGACCAGGTAAACTTCCGTGGATTCATGAGAACTTTGGCTCATTTCCGACCCATTGAGGATAATGAAAAGAGCAAAGATGTGAATGGACCAGAACCACTCAACAGCCGAAGCAACAAACTGCACTGTAAGGAACAGTGGTTTAAAATATTTGCTTTTCATTCCTTAAAATTCATTTATTTGCTCATTCATTCCTTAAAATTCATTTATTTGCTCATTCATTCATTGAACAAGCATTTACGAGAGCATAGCAGAGCTCAGCTCTGCTATGCTCTTGTATAAGAGCTCAGAGTCTGGAGCTAAACTAGCTGAGTTTGAGTCCCAACTCTACTACATTTTGACCTTGTGACTTTGAGCAAGTTACTTAAAAATCTTTGGGCCTCGGTTTCTTCTTCTATAAAGTGGTATATTAAGATGTTCTGCATCAGATCATTGTGAGGGTTAAATGAGTTGATTTACATCAAGTGCTGTACCAGTGCCTGGCATATACTAGGTACTCAATAAGTGTCACCCATCATTATAATTCATTGAGCAACTACTGTGTGCCAGACACTGTGGTAAGCGCTAGAGTGGCAATAGTGAACAAGGCCCAGGTCCCATCTGTAAGGAATAATGGCAATCCTCAGCCCATCTTAGAATTTGATAGACTCAGGATGTGGCTTATGTAGGGGTAGACAGCTGGATTAGTGCAAGATTTAATTTTTGTCCCCATGCCTTTTGCCTCCTTTTCTAGAGCATTTGTTACATTTCCCTACGGCTCTTGTCAGTTTATATATGATGTTTTTTTTCTTCCTTTGCTTTTGTTACATGCCAGAGAAGTTTCTGCAACTTCATGTATGATATTGCCCAATGCCTTACAACACTTCTCCAGGAAATTGAAATTTCTCTTTTTTTTTTGAGACAGATTCTCACTCTGTTGCCCAGGCTAGAGTGCCGTGGCATCAGCCTAGCTCACAGCAACCTCAAACTCCTGGGCTGAAGTGATCCTACTGCCTCAGCTTCCTGAGTAGCTGGGACTATAGGCATGCGCCACCATGCCCGGCTAATTTTTCATATATATTTTTTCAGTTTTCTAGCTAATTTGTTTCTATTTTTAGTAGAGACAGGGTCTTGCTCTTGCTCAGGCTGGTCTCGAATTCCTAAACTCAAACAATCCGCCCGCCTTGGCCTCCCAGAGTGCTAGGATTACAGACATGAGCTACCACGCCCAGCTGAAATGTCTCTTTTCATTCAACACAACTTGAAATTGAAGTTGTATTAAACTTACTGAGCCCGAGCTTTTCTTACAAGAGCACACAGTGGAATACAGAGAGGTTTGTGAAGCCACAGAATAAATGGGGTCCATCAAAATTTTACTTGGTGGTTTCAAGAAAAATAAAGGGCTTTTTAATATTAAAACAAATAATAAATAAATTATAGAATATAATGCCAAATTTATATACATTTGAGGAATGGTACATGAGATTTAATGTTTTAGTTTGTGGCCCCTGGTCTGTATCTCCAGATCTCCTTGGGTATATAGGAATATAAGTTTACTCCTCTGTTGATACGTTAGATGAATGGCCGACATGGTGGCTCATGCCTATAATCCTAGCACTCTGGAAGGCCGAGGCAGAAGGATCATTTGAGCTCAGAAGTTTGAGACCAGCCTGAGCAAGAGTGAGACCCGTTTCTACTAAAAAATAGAAAGAAACTTGGCTAGGAAACTAAAAATATAAAAAATTAGCTGGGCATAGTGGCGCATGCCAGTAGTCCCAACTACTTGGAAGGCTGAGGCAGGAGGATCGCTTGAGCCTAGGACTTTGAGGTTGCTGTGAGGTAAACTGATGCCATGAAACTCAGGGCAACAGAGCAAGACTCTGTCTAAAAACAAAAATAAATAAAAATAACATATCTTAGATGAATAGTTTGAGGAGAACTGAAATGAATCTTTTTTTATTTTTTTTGAGACAGAGTCAAACTTTGTTGCTCAGGATAGAGTGAGTGCTGTGGCATCAGCCTAGCTCACAGCAACCTCAAACACCTGGGCTCAAGCAATCCTTCTGCCTCAGCCTCCCAAGTAGCTGGACTACAGGCATGCACCACCATGCCTGGCTAATTTTTTCTATATATATATATTAGTTGGCCAATTAATTTCTTTCTATTTATAGTAGAGACAGGGTCTCGCTCTTGATCAGGCTGGTTTCGAACTCCTGACCTCGAGCAATCCGCCCGCCTCTGCCTCCGGAGTGCTAGGATTACAGGTTTGAGCCAACTGCGCCCGGCCATATCTGACTCTTGATAAGCATCCAACTCAACAGGTAGGCAATGTGAATACTCAACATTAGCCAATTATATTGAAATACAATTAACAGGCTGGGTGCGGTGGTTCATGCCTGTAAGCATGAGCCACTACGCCCGGCCCATAATTTTATTTTCAATAATATTATATAGGCCAGGCTCACGCCTATAATCCTAGCACTCTGGGAGGCTGAGGCAGGCGGATTGCTCAAGGTCAGGAGTTCGAAACCAGCCTGAGCAAGAGCAAGACCCTGTCTCTACTATAAATAGAAAGAAATTAATTGGCCAACTGATATATAGAGAAAAAATTAGCCAGGCATGGTGGCGCATGCCTGTAGCCCCAGCTACTCAGGAGGCTGAGGCAGGATTGCTCGAGCCCAGGAGTTTCAGGTTGCTGTGAGCTAGGCTGATGCCACGGCACTCTAGCTTGGGCAGCAAAGCGAGGCTCTGTCTCAAAAAAAAATAATAATAATATTATATAAATAAAACCATAAGGTATGTAACCTTGTAAGGATTGGCTTTATTTTACTCAGCATAATTCTTGCATGTTATCAAAATTCATTCTACTTTATTACATTTATTTATTTATTTCATGATATGGATGTACAACAGTTTTTTTAATCTGGTTTTTTACAAATTGAGGGACATTTTGATTGGTTCCAGTTTTCAGCTTTTTTTTTTTTTTTTTTTTTGAGACAGAGTCTCACTCTGTTTCCCAGGCTACAGTAACATGACATCACCCTAGCTCACAGCAACCTCAGACTCCTAGGTTCAAGCAATCCTTCTGCCTCAGCCTCCCGAGTAGCTGGGACTATAGGCACTGGCCACCATGCCCGGCTAATTTTTTCTATGTTTTGTGGTTGGCCAATTAATTTCTTTCTATATTTAGTAGAGATGGGGTCTCACTCTTGTTCAGGCTGGTTTTGAACTCCTGACTTTGAGCAATCCTCCTGCCTTGGCCTCCCAGAGTGCTAGGATTACAGGCATGAGCGACCTTGCCTGGCCTCTATGTATATGACATTCTTAAAATGACAAAATTTGGAAATTGAGAATAAATTAGTGGTAGACAGGGATATTAAAAAGGGGGTAGAGTTGAAGAGGAAGTAGTTGTGGCTGTAAAAGGCAATACGAGGGATCCTTGTGCTGATAGAAATGTTCTGTGCCTTTATCCCGGCATTCAACTATCTGGTGCAATTAAACTATAGTTTTGCAAGATGTCATGATTAAGGGAAAATAGGTAAAGAGCACAGTAGATCTCTGTATTATTTCTTACAGTTGCATGTGAATGTCCATTTATCTCAAAATAAAGTTTAAAAAGAAACTGTTTGAAATCTATGCTATATTGATTATATCTTAATAAAGCTGTTACCAAAAAACTCTAAAGAATGAAGCTGCCAAGCTCTTGTCCACAGTGGTTACATCATTTTACATTTCCACCAGCAATGTACAAGTGATCTAGTTTTTCCTCATCCTTGCCAACATTTGGTGGTGTCACTATTTTTTAATTTTAGCCATTCTGATATGTATGCAGTGATAGCTAATTGTGATTTTATTTTGCTTTTCCCTGAATGATGTCGAACATCTTTGTATGTGTTTATTTGCCATCTATATATCTTTTTTGGTGAAATGTCTGATCACATCTTTTGCTTGTGCTCTGATTGGATTATTTTCTTTTATTGTTATGTCTTGAGAATTATTTATGTATTCTAGATACATGTCCTTTGTTAGGTATATGGTTTGCAGATATTTTCTCACTGTCTAGAGCTTATATTTTCATTTTTTTAACAGGATCTTTCACAGAGCAAACATTTTATTTTATTTTTTTAGAGACAGGATCTTGCTCTATTGATCTTGCTCCAGGCTAAAGTGCAATGACATGATAATAGCTCACTGTAACCTTGAATTCCTGGGCTCAAGTGATTTTTTTGCCTCGGCCTCCTGAATGGCTGGCGCCAACATGCCAGCTAATTTTTTATTTTTTTGGTAGAGATGCAGTCTCGCTATGTTGTTCAGGCTGTTCTTAAACTCCTGGCCTCAAGTGATCCACCCACCTTAGCCTTCAAAAGTACTAGGATTACAGGGTGAGCCACTGAGTCCAGCAATGTTTTTAATTTTGATGAGACTAGATTGATTTTTTCTTTTGTAGATTGTGGAGTCTATAAAATGCCGTTAGTAATATTTGTTTACATGAGTGTTAGAAAAATCAATATAGAGGTCAATTTAGTTATTACTATTTTGTAGGTATAATTAGTTTGTGAGTTCCATGTAGAATCATAAAACCATATTCTATGTAATCCTAGCACTCTGGGAGGCTGAGGCAGGCGGATTGCTCGAGGTCAGGAGTTCGAAACCAGCCTGAGCAACAGCGAGATCCGTCTCTACTATAAATAGAAAGAAATTAGTTGGCCAACTAATATATATAGAAAAAATTAGCCGTGCATGGTGGCCCATGCCTGTAGTCTCAGCTACTCGGGTGGCTGAAGCAGCAGGATCACTTGAGCCCAGGAGTTTGAGGTTGCTGTGAGGGAGGCTGACACCTGGGCAACAAAGCGAGACTCTGTCTAAAAAAAAAACCAAACATTTCCTAGTAAAGGAAAATTTCTATTTTTGCTTAACTCACTTTTGCTAAGGATTAACAGTTCTCTCTGTGCTGCCTCTTTCAGGTTATGCTTAGGACAGTCTTTTATTAAAGTGTTTTGCCATAAGACTTTCCATGTGTTAAAAGTAAGGCTTAGGATATAAAAATAGAAAAGATTTTACACTAGATCCCTATTTCTCCTCCTGAAGCTATGGATGATATTCTGTCAAGAAAGAAGTTTGGATTGCCACAGAAATGGCAAACTTTAGGATGACATAAAATAATAACAGGTGCTGTGCAAGTTATGCATAGTTTTTTTCTTTAGATACTTTAGTCTTGGCTCCTGGACTACCATGTTTCTCCAAAAATAAGACAGGGTCTTATATTTATTTTTCCTCAAGAAGACACCCTAGGGCTTATTTTCAGGGGATGTGTTATTTTCCCCTCAAAGCCTCAGCTTGCAGCACGCACAGGATGGCCCAGACCTGACAGGGGGAGCCCACCTTGTTGGTGGGGTTGCCTGCACCTTTCCCATCACCTCTGGAATAGTAGTTGTCACGATGGGGCAGATGAGAAGGGCTGCTCATCTTCTTTATCGCTCCACAACGAAATGCATAGGTTGTGCAGATGTGCTGCGTAGCCACACCCATCACTAGGTCTTATTTTCGGGGTAGGGCTTATATTGCGCAAATGCTTAGACATCCTGCTAGGGTTTATTTTATGGGTAGGTCTTATTTTCAGGGAAACACGGTAACTGTTACAATAAGCTGAAAATTATTAGAATTCTGTTGCCATCATGCCCCGTCAGCTTTCCCTTTTTGTGATGTTTTCTGATTTGTTGGAAGAAAGATCATATTTTATGAAATAATCATAATTGCTATTGAAAAATCTATGAATTGGCTATCAGTTTTCTGTCTAGTGTCCTTCACATATTTATTTCCTTGAAAAGGAGAAAACACTACAGAATTTCTACTAACTCCTGGTTTTTCCCTACAGTTGCTTTTCGACTATATGATTTGGATAAAGATGACAAGATATCCCGTGATGAGCTGTTACAGGTATGTGGATAACTTGTAAGGCCCCTGTCTGCTTGTTTTTGTGGGCAGGAATTGTTCTTTCTTTCAGTAAGTATTTATTTAATTACTGTTGTATGCAGAGTCCCATCCTAGATATAAGGTAGCATAGATGACCTGGGAAAACTTCAAATGAATGGCTCACTGAGTTTTCACAGATAGATGTCTTTACTGTTTAAAAGCTAACTAAATGTCTTTTAGGTAATCACAGGCAGAACTAAAATATATAACATGGTTTATCAAATAGTTTAGTTATTGCTAAATCAGCTTGTTGGCAACCACGTAGTTCTGATGATACTTAGGTAAATGCTGCTATTTATTCTGTCCCGAGCCTTGAAATAAGAGTTAAAGAACTGCTGCTGTGCTGGTGTACCCTGAGCTAACTGCTCACTGCTCTTTGTTGCTCCTGTGGACAATTTCTGGTCCTCTAGCTAGCAAGGACTGGCATTTCATCCTATTAGCATTGCCCTTCTCTTTCCCCTACCTCTTTTACTTTCTGTAAATTTAATAGGGGACTAAATGATGCTTTTTAAAACGTGTGTGTGTGTGTGTGTGTGTGTGTGTGTGTATGGCCTGTGTGAAGTGATGTAACTGACAGAACCACTTAAGCGTTATTTTTTTTAAAAAACATTCTAGGATAAGAATAAGAAAAAGGACATTTGGCTTTCTTTCTCTCTTTTTTTTAAAGTTTCATCTTTTTAATCAGCTTCATGAAAGATAACCTAAATACGTGAGACACAACAGAATACTTTTTCTTCCAGTATTTTTTAAAAAATAACATTTACAAACATTTTAAAGCAGCTCTTCTGTATAATCAGGTTGGTTAACTTCAGTTAAAAAAAAAAAGAAAACCCCAGGCAATCATGTTCCTGATACAGATTTCTCTCAGGTACATTTAGAAATTGTTTTCTAACCACGATAAACATTGTATATGTGTTTTTAAAATGTCCCTAAAATACAAATAAAATATCCTAGATAATCATTAATTAAAAGAAAAGAATAATCCTGGCTCTCTGGGACGCCAAGGCGGGCAGATCGTTTGAGTTCAGGAGTTCTAAACCAACCTGAGCAAGAGCAAGACCCTGTCTCTACTATAAAAGAAAGAAATTAATTGGCCAACTGAATATATATATATAAAAAAATTAGCGCAGATGGGGGCACATGCCTGTAGTCCAGCTACTCGGGAGGCTGAGGCAGAAGGATTGCCTGAGCCCAGGAGTTTGAGGTTGCTGTGAGCTAGGCTGACGCCATGGCACTTACTCTAGTCTGGGCAACAAAGTGAGACTCTGTCTCAAAAAAAAAAAAAAATAGAAAAGAAAAGCCAGTCTGGCTAAGCTTGCCAGAACCAATAATCCTGAGATCCTAAACAAAAAACTGGTAAAAGAAAAAATACCCAGACTTTACAAATATCTCAGAATTTGCCTTTAAATGGGAGAAAAAAATATCTTAAAAAATACACAGAGCTTTCTAAAAGGTCTTTAACAAACTACCTTGGAAGAGCAATTTAAAAATAGAAGTTGGTGTATTAAAACAGATGTTTCAGTGCAGCTCCAAAAATCTTTATAAATACAGCCATCTGGAAGGACGATCCTGGATCAGAAGTGTTATTCCTTGTGTCTATATTATGTGTGCATGTCTCATCTCAGTTGTCATAATTGTCTCTGTAATTTCTTCCTGAGTAGCGGTCATAACCACCCTGGCTTCTGCCACCATAGTCTCTGGACTGTCCGTATCCATATCCATATCCATATCCACATCCTCCAGGTCGACTGTCATACCTGCCACTCCCATAGCCCTGGTCCCCACCACCTCTAGAGTAGTTGTGACCATGCCCTTAGGACCCAAAGCCACCTTCTCTGGTTCCCTGGGCAGACTTGCCAGCATGGTCCACACGGATCTGGCGACCATCCAGGGACTCTCCATTCATGGCTCTCATGGCATCTGAGGCATGCTCTGGGTTGGTGAAGGCGACGAAGCCAAAACCCCGGGATCGCTGAGTCTCCCGGTCCTTCACAATGACCACCTCAGAAATAGGCCCAAAGCTGCTGAAGTGGTCTTCCAGCGCCTGCTCATCAGTGTTAAAGTTGAGCCCTCCCACAAAGAGCTTCCCTTCTTCAGAGGACTTGGCAGTAAATTCGAGTCCTAGAAATTAAAAAGCAAAAGGACCGGACAAACTGCGAGCACCGGCGAGCAGGGAGAATAGGGTGGTTTTCTCTTTTTATGAAGCTTCCTTATTTGTTGGAAGAGAGACCATATTTCATCAAATCTACGATGCCTAGTGTCTGGAGGACCCTTGGAGGCTAACATATTCCCAAATTTCCATGAGAGATTTCTCCATTTCAAGATATACCTAAAAAGTAAAGTGTTTTCCACTCGTCCTTAAGTAAATCTGAATTTATTTAGTGTCTTGAGAAGTCTTCCAAGTTGAAGATTACTCAGGCCAGATTCAGGACCAATCCAGAGTATTCCTACATTTCTATGTATGAGCAAAAAACTAAACAGTCTGCAGGTCAGTGTTACTGTCTATTGCTTTTGAGTTGGGAATATCTTTCTTCAGTGAGAAGAATTTGTTTTATTGAAAGTTGCTGGCCGGGTACAGTGACTCATGCCTCTAATCCTGGCACTCTGGGAGGCTGAGGTAGGCAGATTGCTCTCGGTTAGGAGTTCAAAACCAGCCCGAGCAAGAGCGAGACCCTGTCTCTATCATAAATAGAAAGAAATTAATTGGCCAACTAATATATATAGTAAAAATTAGCCAGGCATGGTGTCGCATGCCTGTAGTCCCAGCTACTCGGGAGGCTGAGGCAGCAGGATTGCCTGAGCCCAGGAGTTTGAGGTTGCTGTGAGCTAGGCTGACGCCACGGCAGTCTAGCCTGGGCAACAAAGCGAGACTCCGTCTCAAAAAAAAAAAAAAAGTTGCTACATATAGGCTGATGAGTTTTGAAGAGAAGAGACACAGGCAGTCACTCTATAGTTGCCTGTTTTTATCCTTTGGCCCAGATATAGCTGCCAGAAAGATTTTTTTGGAGCAAAGGATTGATTTGTTTTTATTATTAGGATAATGAAAGCCTCAGGCAGGGAGTGGGGAGGACACCATAAGGCCAGATTGCCAGTAAGTTCCACTAGAGTGTTCCTGGGGCCAAGAATGACTTTGGGTTAAATGTGCTCATCGACCGTTGAGATGTCACAATTAGTTTTTTCCTAGTAGGAAGGGGATGTGAACATTTGACCAAAATGAGAGAAAAAAAGAAGAAAGTTTATCTTTATAGACACTACAATTCCTAAAACATTTGGAAACTTGGAATTCTTAGGTATTCAGTGGATGTTAAAAGTTTGTGATGCCAGCAAATTGGTATTAACGGATCAACACCTAAGTGGAAATATAGGAGTAACATTTATTGGGTGTCAGGAGGGTGGGAGGGGGGAGGAAGGGACGGGTATATACAACCATAATGAGTAAGATGTGCAACATTTGAGGGATGGACACTCTTGAAGCTCTTACTCGAGGGGGAAGGGGGGCATGGGCAATATATGTAACCTTAACACTTGTACCCCCATAATATGCTAAAAAAAAGTCATTTAAAGTTTAAAAAAAAGTTTGTGATGAATTTATCCTAAGGAAAGGCTGAGTAGTCACGTTTTCTTAATATGATTCTTGTAAAAAGTCCTGGTTGAACTTTTGAAGGTCATGGATATGTTCATTATCTTGATTGTGATGATGATGTCATGTGTATGTACATACACATATGTCCAACCTTATCACATTGTATATTTTATTTCTTCATTTTTTATTTTTTTGAGACAGGCTCTCACTCTGTCATCCAGGATACAGTGCTGTGAAGTGATCATAGCTCACTGCAACCTCAAACTCCTGGCTTTAACTGATCCTCATCCCTCAGCCTCCTAAAGTGCTAGGATTACCTGGCCATGGCTTGAGTATTTATTATCTTTGCTAGCATTGCCTCTTTTTATTAGTCCTTCAATTTATGTACATTTATACCTAAAATATGTAACTTCCAATTTTTAAGAGTTGGATTGTTATAAAAATAACCAGTTTTGGTACAAATCAGTATTTCAGCTCTTTTCTCTTTTGAAAATCTTGTGATTTACTATCGATTCATTGATTGATTGAGACAGGGCCTTGCTATGTTACCCATGCTGGACTCCAACTCCTGGGCTCATGCAATCCTCCTGCCTCAGCCTCCAGTAGCTGGAGCTATGCCAGTGCATGCCACTGCACCAGGCTTGTAATGTACTTGTAAAAAATCTATTTAATGAGATTGGAGAGGGGGGAAAGCAATGGAGAAAGAAAGGCCTGTGTACCATTGGGCTAGAGGACCTTTCTTTCCTGCGGAAAGCTAAGACCTTTTGAAGACAGAGGTAGCTGACTGCAATCATATGAGGAAATCAGAAAAACACCCCTAGATCAACTTACTGAAGTGGAAAAAGAATTTAAAATGTTTTTTTTTTTTAAATGAAAAGCACCCTGTCCCCCATTTCATATTGTCGAAGAGTCAACCTTTTCATATTGTCTAATGGTTAAATGGTTAAAGTTGCTTATTTCATTTAAGGCAGCAATTTTCAAAATATGTTGACACCATGAAGATGTTAGTATAATTGCTTGGGGGGGAGTGGTGGCAGAGCAGGGTGGCTTGGTTAATTTGGTGAAACAGTATTAAATTCTCTTTACTCAATTCTCATAACCCTTTAAATATGCTTGTTACTTTTCTAAGAAGGGAATTTAACCCTTCAAGGATCCTTATGTTTCTTGGGCCATACTTTAGGAGTGCATTTTGGTAGGATTCCAGAAAGCCCCACCAAACTGACTTAAATCAACAAAGAACTAGTTAGCTTCATGCTACCAGTATTCTGGGGATAGACTGTCCAGGCTAGTGCAGTACCTAAATGACGTCCAGGAACCAGGCTCCATCTATATTCTTGCTCTGGCATCCATAGCACACATAACTCACCTCATGGTTCTATGATGGCTGCTATGCCACCAGACATATCTGTACTCTGGGCAGGAAGAATGAGGAAGAGCAAAATGCAAAGGACTCATCCTTCATGAGGTATTGTTTTCTTATCCAGTGACCTTGCCAGAAAGTTCTGTTTACATCATTATCTAGAGTGGCCTAGATAAGAAGATAAGAGTTTTAGCTTTCTAGCTGTTATATAGTCATGGCAGGGATAGGTCCTGAGAAATGTGTCATTAGGCAATTTCATTATAGAGCAGTGGTCTCCAACTTTTTTGGCACCAGGGACTGGTTTCACGGAAGACACTTTTTCCATAGACCAACGCAGGGTGGATGGTTTCAAGTGCATTACATTTATTGTGCAGTCAAACCTATTTGCTAATGATAATCTGTATTTTCAGCCAATCCCTAGCGCTAGCATCACCACTTCTGCTCCACTTCAGATCATCAAGCATTGGATTTTCATAAAAAGCACACAACCTATCACGCCTGTAATCCTAGCACTCTGGGAGGCCGAGGCGGGTGGATTGCTCAAGGTCAGGAGTTCAAAACCAGCCTGAGCGAGACCCTGTCTCTACCATAAAAATAGAAAGAAATTAATTGGCCAACTAATATATATATATATATATAAAAATCAGCCGGGCATGGTGGCTTGTGCCTGTAGTCCCAGCTACTTGGGAGGCTGAGGCAGGAGGATGGCTTGAGCCCAGGAGTTTGAGGTTGCTGTGAGCTAGGCTGACGCCACGGCACTCACTCTAGCCTAGGCAAGAAAGCTAGACTCTGTCTCAAAAAAAAAAAATAAAAAAAATAAAAAATAAAATAAAAGCACACAACCTAGATCCCTTGCATGCACGCTTTACAGTAGGATTCGTGCTCCTATGAGAATCTAATGCCACTGCTGATCTGACAGGAGGCAGAGCTTATGCATTGACATGAGCAATGAAGAGCAACTGTCAACACAGATGAAGCTTCACTCACTTGTGGCCTCTCATCTCCTACTGATTGGCCAGGTTCCTACTGTTTGGCCTGATACTGGTCTGTGGCCCAGGGGTTGGGGACTGCAGTCATAGAGGGTACTTGACAAACCTATGTGGTATAGCCTATTATACACTTAGGCTATGTAGTGTAGCCTATTGCTCTCAGCCTATAAAGCTGTACAGCATGTTACTATACTGACTACTCTAGGCCATTGTAACACCACAGTAAGTATTTGTGTATCTAATATCTAAACATGGAAATGGTATAATAAAACTACAGTGTTAAAATCTTATAGGACCACCATTATTATATGTAGTCTGTCATTGACCAAAACATCGTGCAAAGCATGATTATATTTGAGGGCATCATAGGAAAAGTAGGGTGTGGTAGATTTATCTTTAATCCTAGTAAGGGTTGCGCTGACTGCCAAGTTCCTTGTATTGTAATTCCTGGCTCTTGTTCCTATAGGTGTTACGCATGATGGTTGGAGTGAATATCTCAGATGAACAGCTGGGCAGCATCGCAGACAGGACCATTCAGGAGGCTGATCAGGATGGGGACAGTGCCATATCTTTCACAGAATTTGTTAAGGTTGGTCAATCACCTCTTTGTTTGAAAAAGTTAACTTCTACTACAGAAGAGGGAGGGGGAGAACCATTATTTAGATAAGAGCTGGGGACTATTGCAACCTTTATAACTGTAATTGTTTTTTTCCCCCAGGTTTTGGAGAAGGTGGACGTAGAGCAGAAAATGAGCATCCGATTTCTTCACTAAGGGATAGAAACCAAACTGTTCACTACTTTCTAGTATTTAAGAACTGGAACTTGAGAATCCTCCCATCCACCAGCCCCACCTCCACCCCGTTATTCCCCTTCTCCCAGAGTACTACTGCTGTTGCATGACAACCCCAAATATATTCTGTCAATACAAACCTGCCTTTGGTATGTAAACAGGGCATTACAGAATGGTACACCCAGTTTATTTCTGTTCATTATCCATTCATAAGTTCTCCATTTATAAATATCATCTTCCCTTGTTCTGCTAATATATGCTACACATCCATCCAGTCTAAGAAAGTGAGAGGGAATAATGCCAAGAACAAGCCAGCAAAGCTCTTTCACCGGATGTAGACTGTAGCCATGTTGCCTTCCCTCTAGTGAGGCTTTGGCATATTTTTCATCCTTTTTATATGTTTTTTGCTCCCTACTTCTCTGTCATCCCACAAACGATTCACTTAGTCTAATAGTATCTTTCCTTTTTATTGAGTCTCGAAATCTCCTCTGTTCTACTTGGCACCCCAAGCTATGCCTGTTAAATATATTTCTGACTTGGCAGGATAGTTCGGTGGTCTGGCAGTTTTTATTCACCTTCACACTTCAATGGGTCTCTGGAATTTTGCCTCTCTGGGAGCTTTTTGGTAACCAACATTTCTCTCTGAAGAATGAGACCATCTCTTTGTCCCTTGCACTATGTTTTGTCATCAAAGGGCTGCTAGGTGAAGATTTCCTTTTTGAAAGGTTGCCTTGGTGAGGTATAGAGCCACGTCTTGTCCAGGGCCCTCTACCTCTGGCTTCTGATTCTTAACTTACGTACCCATGTGGCTCTGTTAGTGCTGATTATTCAGAAAAGAGCCATATGCCTGCAAGTTTGCTTAGTTTTGGGACATTGTTACCACCAGAATGGCTGCTCTGACAATATGCTTGGGGACTTTCTCATGGCTTTTTGAACAAGGAGGTTTGGCACCCCCTAAAGCCTCCTGAATTCATGCCTGTGCAGCATGATTTATGCCTCAGTGTTATGTACACTGGAATGCTTTCCACCTCATGTTTCCATGTAGAAAGATTAGTGTTACGGAAGTGCCTAATTTATCCCAGTACAAAAGATTTAAAGATTGTCTTCAGTGTCTTGAAGTTTTATACAAAATTCTTTATGAATTTTACACTTGGCAAATGTTAATGATGGAAGCCAAAGGTCAGCTCCTAATGCAGGTCCAAAGCATTGAAAGTATTGTATCATTAGCTGCCTGGTTGTGTAAGCTTCTTAGTTCTTCATGTAGACCACTGCTAATCCCTTAGGGGTCTGGCACTGGTGCCACAACCTAAGGCGGCATCACAGGTCTTTGTGCAAGCCATAGCAGCTTCTCTGCCAAAGTCAGCTTAGTTTAAGCTTCAGTGAATAAGGCTGTTGACATCCTAATGTATGTCTGTATGAGTCAATTCATCCATATATTTGCCTTTGGCTGACTTGCTTGCTTGCTCGTTTCCTTGCTTTTGGAAGGCTAAGATGTGTACACAATTCTTTAGGAAGGGGATTGCTAAAAAATATCACTCATTGCAAAGGGATGGGGAAGGGTGGGGGACAGGGGAGTGGCCAGGCTGGATGGCTCAAGTGTAAACAAATAAGGAATTTTTTATGAAGTATCAGTCTGACTTTATGATTAAGTGATGTAATATAGGAATTGGATAAAAGGGAATAATTGTCTGATACTGATCTGTTAGAGGTACTTCAGAGGCTCCTTGATTTACATATTTAAAGTTCCTAAGATTATGGCTTTTCTCCCTTTTGGCTGTACAGCAAACTGTTTTAATCCACAGTTGTGCCTTATTGTTCCATAAAATTGTATCATTGATCCATCAATAAACACTTGTGGTTAAAACAAAAAAAACGATTTTGTCTGTATATTTTATAAGAATTTTACATAACTCAGCCCCATCCAAGTTTGAGATCACAAACAGTATCTCCCTCACTCAAATTTATGTCTGTAATATTAGCTGCAGGTCTAGTCTGCTGCTTCCTGGACATATGAAATGGAAACATTCATCTAGGGACCAGCATTGTCTGCCCCTAGGCACAGTTTTGTCAGCCACAGACAGCCACTTCCCATTCATTCCAGGTAAGATTCAATCTTTGTTCTTGATTTCCTGGCTCCTTGAAATGTAGAAAAATCACTGGGCAGTGTGGCTCACATCTGCCCAGCAGTTGGATTTTGGAGGCTGAGGTGGGAGATTTGCTTGAGGCCAGGACCAGCCTGGGCAAGAGTGAGACTCTGTCTCTAAGCGTCTTTTACAAAAAAAAAAAAAAAATGGAAGGACATTGATAAAAAATGATGTGTTCTCAAGTAGAAAAAAAAAAAAAAAAAAATGGAAGGACATTGATAAAAAATGATGTGTTCTCAAGTAGTAAAATGGTGAGGAGATTAAAGGCAATTTATTGTTTTAGACAATTGTAGGAACTTGGACTTTAACCCAGAGAAAAGAAAGATATGATATGGTAACTATATTCAGGTAGCTAAGGACCTGCCCTTAAAAGGCCCTCTGTTACATTTCTAGAAAACAGAACTAGGTAATTTAATGTATAATATCATTTCTTTAAATAGCAAGTTTTCCTAGTAGATATAACAGTATTTTACAAAAATGGGAACTTATATGCAAGTTTGATTCTGTTTTCTTTGCAAGAACACACATTGCTATACATTGAAGGTTTTTTAAATAGGAAGGGGGTTGCTAAGGAAGAGAAAATGAATGAAACATAGCCTGTATCCCAGTTAACACTATTTTATGGCTTTGTTTTGGTTTTTCCCTAGTTGCTTGTGTGTCAGGAAGAAAAACACTTGTATCTGGGAATGATTTTCAAAATATTTTACAACCAGTGCTACAATGACCAATCAGAATGTAGGGCTGGAGCAAGGTCTTGGAAGTCTTCTGTTCTGTGGGGCAGCAAGGTAGTTAGTAAGTGAAGCATGGACCGGTTTGGGACAATGGCTACTCCTAAGCAAGTGTGTTTATATTTTAATATTTTTTTTTTTTTTTGAGACAGAGTCTCGCTTTGTTGTCCAGGCTAGAGTGAGTGCCGTGGCGTCAGCCTAGCTCACAGCAACCTCAAACTCCTGGGCTCAAGCCATCCTCCTGCCTCATCCCGGGTAGCTGGGACTACAGGCATGTGCCACCATGCCCGGCTAATTTTTTATATATATATCAGTTGGCCAATTAATTTCTTTCTATTTATAGTAGAGACGGGGTCTCGCTCTTGCTCAGGCTGGTTTCGAACTCCTGACCTTGAGCAATCCGCCCGCCTCGGCCTCCCAGAGTGCTAGGATTACAGGCGTGAGCCACCGCACCCGGCCTATATTTTAATATTTTAATAAACTGAGCTAAATATCAATTGCCCTTGCCAAAATCCTACATCCTGCATCCTGAAGAGACTATTCTTTCCCTAATGATTTATCTTGGTTGAAAATTGACCATAAATGTAAAAGTTTATTTCTGACTCTCAATTCTGTTCCATTGATGTATGTGTTATGACAGTATTACACTGTCTTGATTACTATAGCTTTGTAGTAGGTTTTGAAACTGAGTTGTCTGGGTGCAGTTTTTGTTTTTGTTTTTTTAATCTAGAGAGCTTGTTAAAACTTTCCTCAACTCTTTTTTTTTCCCCCCCATGAGATGTGGTCTCCTTCTGTCACCCAGGCTAGAGTGCAGTAGCATCAAATCACAGCTCACTGCAGCCTTAAACTCCTGGGCTCAAGTGATCCTCCTACCTGAACCCCCTCCCCTAGTCAGCAGGGACTAGTGTCTCGTGCCACCACACCTGGCTCTGGCTGGAGTTCTTAAAAAATGCAGTCACACTGTATACAGTTAGGGAAAGAAAAAAAAAAGACCAGCCTGAGCAACATAATGAGATGCTGGTATCTACAAAAAATAAAACAATTAGCCACCAAGGGTGTACTTGTCAGCCTAGCTATCTGGGAGGCTGAGGCAGGAGGATCCCTTGAGCTCAGGAGCTTGAGACTGCAGTGAGCTATTAATATCATGATTCCACTGCATTCTCCATTCTAGCCTGAGTGACAGAGTGAGATCTTGTCCCTAAAAAAAAAAAAAAATTAGTGAATTCCTCCAACTTTGGTCTTTTTCAAAGTTGTCTTGCCTATCCTAGGCCCTTTGGATTTCTACATTCATTTTAAGATCACCTTGCCAGTTTCTAAAAAAAAGAGTGCTGGCATTTTGTTAGGGATTGCATTTAATCTATAGATCAAGTTAAGAATTGCCATACTAAAAATATCGAGTCTAACCATAAAAGTCTGTTAAGTCTCTCCATTTATTTAGGTCTTCATTTCTCTCAGTAATGCTTTGTAGTGGAAAAAAGTGTAAAAATCTTGCACTTGTTTTGCTAATTTTTTTCCTAAGTATCTTTTTGGATACTATTGTGAATGGAATTCTTTTCTTAACTTCGTTTTTGATTTTTTGTTGCTAGTATACAGAAATACAATTGATTTTTTATACTGATCTTGTATCCTGGGACCTTGCTATACTTACTAGTTCTGGTAGCTATTGTTTTTGTTAATGATTTTCTACAGAAGATCATGTTATCTGCAAATAAAGGCAGTCTGTTTTTGTTTTTTGAGACAGAGTCTCGCTTTGTTGCCCAGGCTAGAATGAGTGCTGTGGCATCAGCCTAGCTCACAGCAACCTCAAACTCCTGGGCTCAAGCAATCCTGCTGCCTTAGCCTCCCGAGTAGCTAGGACTACAGGCATGTGCAACCACCCCCGCTAATTTTTTCTATATATATTAGTTGGCCAATTAATTTCTTTCTATTTATAGTAGAGACAGGAGTCTCTTGCTCAGGCTGGTTTCGAACTCCTGACCTCGAGCAATCCGCCCGCCTCAGCCTCCCAGAGTGCTAGGATTGTAGGCGTGAGCCACCGCGCCCGGCCCTAGGCAGTTTTATTTCTTCCAATCTGGATGCCATTTGATTTTTTTTTCCACTGGCTACACCCTCCAGTACAATGTTGAATAGAAGTGGTGTAGCCAGTGTCCTTGCCTTGTTCCTGATCTTAAAGGGAAAGTATGACGTCTTACTGTTAAGTATAATGTAAGCTGTAGGTTTTTCCAGATACCCTTTATCATAAGCTTCTGTAAAAATAAGATTCCTCAGCCTCATCGGAAGACAGGGTATTGGGCCTTGGAGAAGTGCAGCCTTAGGAATCTGTGTTTCTAACAAGCGACCCAGATGACAGCCCTCATGGTGTTTGGGAAGCACTGTGGACTAGGGGCTCTGCTCCGAGAAGAGGCGCCACCCTATTACCCTCCCTGCTTCTGGATCAGTCGCTAAAGAAAGGATCTGAGCCCTACGGTTGGGTGTAGGAAACAAAACTGCCAATTATAACAGATTTTCCTTCGGCAGGAGGGCCCTTAAGAGTGACAAAGCCTGCTCTCGTGTACTGACCAGAGCTCTAAAATGCAGGCCTACGTTCAGGCCCTTTAAGAGTCTGAATAGGTCAAACAAAGTCAGAGACAAACTGGAACCATGACATTGTTTGCCTGGGTGTTATGTGACGCTCAGGACTCTCGCTCTCTGCCCTTAGAATAAAATTATCTGTTCAATAGTTTAACCTAATAATGGCTTAAAATAGTCATGCAGCCCAGCTAGGTTATCTTACCACCGTGTGACACTGTTTCTTCGCGGAAATAATTTTACATTCTTAATAAATGACTTACAAAAGCTTTTTCCACGATTACCGCAACCCTGGGACTTCCTCCCAAAGAAACGGGATCAAGTGGGGCGAGCGCTATTGATCGACGTGCATTCCAACCAACCTACGACGGAAGGAGAGCGCGCGCGAGCAAGCTGATGTCCTATCAGTACCTCAGCAGCGGCGGCGGGGGCGGGGCTTGCGGAAACGGCTCGCCGCAGGGTTGGCGGACTTGAGAAGGAGCGAAGATGGCGGAGTGAGGCGTGCCGCTGCTGACTGGCCTCTGGGCCGGGGGCGGGTCGGCCCCCGGGAGGCCGAGTGCACCTGGCGGCCCGTGCGAGGTGAGCCGAGAAGGCCGGCGACGGAAGGACGAACAGGCGGTGAGGAGGTAGCTCAGTCCATCGCAGCCGGGAACGGGAGTGTGCGGAAGCCTGCTGGCAGCCGCCGGGGCCTTGCCCCAGCGGGGGTGTTTCAGCCCTCCTCGGCCCCAGGGTGGCCCGCACCCGCCTTCTGGACATGTAGCCCAGCCCATTCCCTCCTCGACCCGCCACAGCCCTTTCCAGTGCAGCGCCTTTGGCTGCCTTTGTGCTTTCTGCTTGTTCCCTGGGGATTGCACCCACGCAGGGCTATATCTGGGAGCCGGTGCGTCGGCCATCGATTTATTTTTTGAAGAATATCTTTGTTTTATTGATTTATTTATACTTCTTGCCTCACGACTTAGTGCCCTCTCTTTTGCCCGAGGTTCTAGTATCAATGGAGGCCTGTTGCGGCCCTGAGTACTTTGTGTCCCCACCCCTTTGACCTTGAGATTTAGTATAACAGGTTCCCTTTAGGATATTCATTCAAGTACATGTACAGCAGACGTCCTCTTGCAATCTTTACTATGTCCATTCACTCTCACTCCCACCTCCCAAACTTTTATGAGAAAACTGAGTAAGCAATTTTGTCCGAGTATGTTCTTAGAATGCCCTAATGGCGCATTAGTTTCTGCTGACACTAGATCTCGGTAGAATTTACTGGTTTTGGTTTCTGATCCAGAACTAAAGGAGTCTAGTGTACAATGTTTTTTTTTAAAGAGAGAAGATGTAAAACAGTTTAGAGAAATGTTATTAGAACATAATTTGTGTAATGTAGTGGGGTTGCAGAGTATTAGTACTGTCAGGCATTTGCATTCGGTTCTTGTTTAACTTCATGGGATATCTCATTTTGTAATTTGCATTATTACAATCCCTCATTCGGTCTCTCAGTTAATAACTAATAACAGGAGAGTTCCTGTTATTAGATTTCTGAATTGGTGAAACTTGTTTAAATGTGTGGCACATTAGTTAGTTCCAGTTTGAATGGCCATATCATTATACAGATGAATGTTTTTGGTAGATTATATGTTCTTTGCTGGCCCTGGATTTAGTAGATCTGCAAATATCAGATAAACAAGCACTTGTAAATGTGACCTTTTTTGTTGCTTTTGTCAGTGGTTTTTTTCATCTCCAGGAGAAGAAAAAAGATACAAGCCAGGCTGGGCGAGGTGGCTCATGCCTGTAATCATAGCGCTCTTGGAGGCCCAGGCAGGAGGATTGCGTGAGCTTAGGAGTTCAAGATCAGCCTGAGCAATAGTGAGACCAGTCTGTGCTATAAATAGAAAGAAATTAGCTAGACAACTAAAATAGAACAAATTAGCCGGGCACAGTGGCCCCTGCGTATAGTCCCAGCTACCGGAGAAGCTGAGGCAGGATTGCTTGAGCTCAGGAGTTTGAGGTTGCTGTGAGCTAGGCTGATACCATGGCACTCTATTCCAAACAAGAGAGTGAGACTGTCTCAGAAAAAAAAAGATATGGGCCAGAGGAAAGGAATGGAACATTATCGCTCCCTGTCTTACAGGGGAAGCGCTCATTGACACACTAAAGGAAAGGTCCTTAATAGGGTACTAGAAACTACTGGGGAAATTTGTACACAATTATACATTTTTGTGTGAATAAGAGGTTCGATAATAGCAACAAATTCTCAAAGAGAACTGTGTTCCATAAAAGCTTGAGAACCACTGCTTCAAGAGTTCTGACATCTTTTAAAAATGATGCCAGTGCAGATAGACAGTAATTGCTTTCTTTTATTTTTTATTTCTTTATTTTTTTTTGAGACAGAGTCTCACTCTGTTGCCTGGGCTAAGGCTAGAGTGAGTGCCGTGGCGTTAGCCTAACTCACAGCAACCTCAAACTTCTGGGCTCAAGCAATCCTGCCTCAGCATCTCGGGTAGCTGGGACTACAGGCATGTGCCACCATGCCCGCCTAATTTTTTCTACATATATTAGGTGGCCAATTTATTTCTTTCTATTTTTAGTAGAGACGAGGTCTCGCTTTTGCTCAGGCTGGTTTCAAACTCCTGACCTCGAGTGATCCACCCGCCTCAGCCTCCCAGAGTGTTAGGATTACAGGCGTGAGCCACGCCACTTGGCCAGTAATTGCTTTCTTATTGTTCCTTTTGAATAGCTTATGATAGTAATGTTTTATTGGAATAGCTTGGTTTATTTGAATAATTTTGTATACTAATGTATTTACCACCAGTGAGGTCTATATCCTTAATTTTCTTTTTATTTTCAGGTTCCTTATCACAAGAAGAACATTTTCCTTGACTTTTAGGTGCTTTTATATTCATCTCAAAAACAAAATGCTGAACTCAGGACTTTGAAAGTAAGTAATAGAGGGCTAATCGGTCCAAGTGCTGTTTAAGCAGCTTGAAAATAGCTAGATAGAGTGGAACAGTAAGCCATTAGCTTCAACAGAAGATGAACATCAAAAATGACTGTAGGCCAAGGATTTTGGGAGACTGAGGTGGGAGGATTGCTGGAATCTTGGAGTTTGAGACCAGCCTGGACAACATGGCAAGATCCTGTCTCTACAAAAAGAAATAATAAGTTAACCAGGTATAGTAGCGTGCTCCTGTAGTCCCAGCTACTCACAGGCCGAGGCAAGAAGAACTGTGTGCTTGAACCCCACAGTTAGAGTTTGTAGTGAGCTGTGATCATGCCACTACACTCTAGCCTGGGTGACAGAGCAAGAGCCTGTCTCAATTTTTTTAAAAAAAGACTAAATTATTGATATTTAAGTTCAATCTTTTATTTTTCAACAAATGGGTTAAAAAAAATTGATCGTTTGCCCAAACCAGTAATTTTTTTTTTGAGACAGAGTCTCACTTTGTTGCCCAGGCTAGAGTGAGTGCCATGGCATCAGCCTAGCTCACAGCAACCTCAAACTCCTGGCTCAAGCAATCCTCCTGCCTCAGCCTCCCAAGTAGCTGGGACTACAGGCATGCGCCACCATGCCCGCCTAATTTTTTCTATACATATTAGTTGGCCAATTAATTTCTTTCTATTTATAGTAGAGACGGGGTCTCGCTCTTGCTCAGGCTGGTTTCGAACTCCTGACCTTGAGCAATCCGCCCGCCTCGGCCTCCCAGATAGCTAGGATTACAGGCATGAGCCACTGTGCCCGGCCGAATTTTTTTTTTTTTTTTTTTAAAGAGGGTCTTGCTCTATCACCCTGCTGGATACAGGCGTGCGGCACCACGCCACTAATTTTTCTTATTTTTTGTAGAGCGGGGGTCTCAATATGTTGCCCAGGATTGTCTAGAATTCCGAGCCTCAAGCAGTCCTCCCATTTTGACCTCCCAAAGCACTGGGATTATAGGTGTGAGCCACTGCATCCATCCTTAGTAATTTTTTTTATTTTTTTTTTAGAGCGCCTTGGCGTCAGCATAGCTTACAGCAACCTCAAACTCCTGGGCTCAAGCGATCCTTCTGTCTCAGTCTCCCAAGTAGCTGGGACTACAGGCATGCAACACCATGCCCAGCTAATTTTTCATATATGTTTTTTAGTTGGCCAATCAATTTCTTTCTATTTTTAGTAGAGACGAGGTCTTGCTCTTGCTCAGGCTGGTTTCGAACTCCTGACCTCTAGTGATCTTCCCGCCTCGGCCTCCCAGAGTGCTACTCAGTAATTTTTAATGGGTAAAGAAAAAAGATATGGATTTAATTATATTGAAGGAAATCGCCTGATTAAAAAGATGTTGCTAGTTAAATTTATTTATTTAAATAATTTTTATTGTGTATATTTAAGGTATATAGCATGATGTTATGGAAGAACCTAGAAATAGTAAAAAGATTGCTATAGTTAAAGCAAATTAGTATATCCATCATTTCCACAGTTACCCATTTTTTTGTTTTTTTTGGCAAGAGCTACTAAAGTCTTATTCATTTAGCATGAATCTCATTTATAGTATAATTTTTTTACCTATAGTTCTCATGTTGTACATTTGATCTCTAGACTTGTTCATCCTACATATCTGCTATTTTATATCCTCTGACCTACATCTCTGAATTTCCTATCCCCCAGCCACTGTTTTGTTCTCTATTGCTGTCTTTGATTTTTTTTTTAAGATTTCACATATAAATGAGACTGTATAAAATTTTTCTTTCTTTGTCTAGCTTATTTCTCTTAGCATAATGTCCTCCAGGCTCATCCATGTTGTAGCAAATGACAAGATCTTGTTCTTTTTTTTAGGGCTGAATAATATCCCATGGTATATGTGTTCCCTCGTTTCTATAGTATCTTTACCCATTCATCCCTTGATGGACACTTAGGTTGTTTCCTTATCTTGGTTATTGTAAATAATGCTTCAGTGAACAGGGGAGTGCCGTTAATCTTTATGAGGTGATGATTTCAGGTCATTTGATTATATGCCCAGAAGAGGGATTGCTGGGTCATACGGTAGTTCTATTTTTAATTTCTTTAGAAACTTTCATACTATTTTCCATAGTGGCTATATCAGTCTATTCCCACAAACAGTGAATAAGAGTTTACTTTTCTCTATAGCCAGGCAAATTTTAGAATACATTTATGTAAGTTTTAATTATAGATACATGCTTTTTTTTTTTTTTTGAGGCAAGAGTCTTGCTCTGTTACCCAGGCTAGAATGCCATGGCATCAGCCTACCTACAGCAACTTCAAATTCCTGGACCTAAGCAATCCGTCTGCCTCAGCCTCCAAGTAGCTGGGACTACAGGCATGCACCACCATTCCCAGCTGATTTTTTCTATATATATTATTTATTTATTTTTTTCTTTGAGACAAAGTCTCACTCTGTTACCCAGGCTAGAGTACTGTGGCATCAGCCTAGCTCACAGCTAGGCTCCAACTCTTGGGCTCAGTGATCTCCTTGGGCTCAAGTGATCCTTCTGCCTCAGCCTCCGGAGTAGCTGGGACTGTAGGCATGCTCCACCATGCCTGGATAAGTTTTTCTGTATGTTTTTAGCTATCCAGTTAATTTCTTTCTATTTTTAGTAGAGACAAGGTCTCGCTCTTGCTGAGGCTGGTCTTGAACTTCTGAGCCCAAATGATCCACCCTCCTCGGCCTCCCAGAGTTCTAGGATTACAGGAGTGAGCCACCATACTCGGCTGATAAATGATATTTTAATCTTCAATTTCTAGAAGACTTTTCAGTTCATGTTTAACATTCCTAGGTATGTGGCTGTTTTGTGCCAAATGTTGATATCTTCTGAATTTATCACAGAGGTAAAGTAGGTTCATTGCTCAAATAGCAAGAGTTTTGTGCTTTCTTAACTGACAGAATACCTTATATCTACAAAATAGGCTTCATACCTACTGTATTAGTTTCCTTGGCCTGCTGTAACAAAGTACCACAAACTGGGTAGTTTCGACAACAGAAATTTATTGTCTCAAAGTTCTAGAGGTCAGACATCCAAAATCAAAAGCGTTGGCAGGACCATCATCTCAAGACACTAGGAAAAGATCTGTTCTAGTACCTTCTTCTAGCTTCTTCTAGTTCCTTGCCTTGTGGCAGCATAACTCCAATCTTCACATCAGTTTCTCCCTTTGTGTGGTCTGTGTTCTAGTTCCCCTCTTTAATAAGGACATCAGTAATACTGGGTTGGGGCACACTATGCTCTAGTAGAACTTTGTCTTAACTAATTACATGTGCAGTGACCCTATTTCCAAATAAGGTCACATTCTCAGGTACTAGAGGCTAGGACTTCAACATTATGAATTTTGGGAGAACATAATTCAACCCATAACACCTACTTAATTATATACCTTGATTGTATTATATGAAAACAATTCATTGTACAACTGCTTTAAAGATTATGTAGTCCCAGGTACTCCGGCAGCTGAGGCAGGAGGATCACTTGAGGCTAGGAGTTCGAAGCTGCATCGTACTATGATTGCGCCTGTAAATAGTCACTGCACCCTGGCCTGGGCATATAGTGACCTCTCTCTTTGAAAAATCAAAACAAAAACTTATACATCACATGTGTGAGTTACTTAAGAGTAGTCAGAATCATAGCAAAAGTGGAATGGTGGTTGCTACCAGCTGCAGAAAAGGGAGGAATGGTAGTGGAGGGTGGAAATTGTTTAACAGGTACAGAATTTCAGTTTGGGAAGATGAAATGAGTTCTGGAGGTTGATGGTAGTGATGGTTGTACAACAATATGAATGTACTTGATAGTACTGAACTGTTGTATACAGTTATACTGTTGTAACAGGTTAAGATGGTAAATTATATGTGTATTTTATCACAAAAAAATTGGAAAAAGTAAGCAAAAAACTCTTACATGCATATGTATGTCTCTCTCTCTATTTCATAGTAGGAAGAAGAAGAAAAACTGATGGGGTAGGCCGGGCGCGGTGGCTCATGCCTGTAAATCCTAGCACTCTGGGAGGCCAAGGCCTGATGATTGCTCAAGGTCAGGAGTTGTTTTTTTCTTTTTTTTAGACAGAGTCTCACTCTGTTGCCTGGACTATAGTGCCATGGCATCAGCCTAGCTTACAGCAACCTCAAACTCCTGGGCTTCTGCTTCAGCCTCCCAAGTAGCTGGGACTACAGGCATACGCCACCATGCCTGGCTAATTTTTTTTCTATATATTTTTAGTTGTCCAATTAATTTCTTTCTATTTTTAATATAGACAGGGTCTCACTGTTCTCAGGCTGGTTTTGAACTCCCGACCTCTAGGGATCCTCCCGCCTTGGCCTCCCAGAATGCTAGGATTACAGGCGTGAGCCACCGCATCTGGCCTTTATTAGTTATTTATTTCTGTATAACAACCCAAAACTTAGTGGATTAAAACAGCAACAAAATGCATTGTCTATCTCTCTTAAGAATTTGGAAGTAGATAGCTGGGATGTTTTGGCTTACAGTTCCATTGTGGCACATTCACATGGCTGGCAGATTCATGCTGGGTATGGGGACATTTCCTCCCAATGTAGGCCTCTTTCAGGGCTGCTTGAGTGTCGTTATGATATAGTGGCTAGCTTCTGCCTAAGCAAGCAAGAGAAGACAGAAGCCAGTTTCCTCTATGACTGTGACCGTGCCTCAGAAGTCAGTCGCTATCACTTCTTCCTCATCATATTGGTCACTATTCTGACACCAACTGGTTTACTGCAATACAATTCTGACAGTAACCATCCAGAGTTATTATAGACTCCACAAATCAAAGGGTGAGGTCCCCAACAAAACTGCCCTCATTTCGGATGCCAGCTGTTCTTTGTAGCACCCCTAGGCAACCTGCACTACAAATTTGGGGATTCCCGTGACCCTCTTAGAACCAACTTTTGATTTCATTGGTTTTTCCCTATTTTTCTGTTCTCTATTTATATCTGCTGTAATATTTATTTT